CTTGCGGTGCGATTTTTCTTGTTGGTCTCAAGGTGGGGAGGGTGCAAAAACTGGTCACAAGGTCCGAACCAGCGAAAATAACTTTGCCACGATTCCATCAAACAATGTAGTCTTTGGCTGCCTTACCCCTCAAATGGACATGTGCAAAAACTTTCTCCCTGGTGTAGTGGTTTGACTCACTTGGCATGTCTCATGCACTCTGCCTCCACAGTTGCGTGAAGCTATGGGAAGGCCGATTGCGCTCGGACCATGGCTCTTGTTGGAAGGAACGCCAAGGCTTCTGAAGTGATGGCGCAGCCAGGAGCTTGGTGTTCCTTTCTGAGGTACTTGTTTGGTCTTTAGACATCTGCGGGCGATCTCGGACTGTTGCACCCTGGCATGCGCACAGGCTGATTTGGCCCGCTTTGTCCATGCGCTCGCCAGCTCGCCAGCTCTGACATGCCAGGAGCCGAAGACGCCTCGCAAAGCCGGGTCCACGGCGAGTGCTTGGGATGGGAAAGGAATGGTTCGGTTGTCAATGTTGTCAAAAGTTTGGCGCCTTTTGCACCCTTCCCGCCTTGTTCTCATAAAGCAAACCTGACAGGCTTGGTTTCTTTCCAAGGAGAATGCCAGTGTTTCACGTTCGCTTCTGTTCTGGCACCTGCTTTGGGAGGCTTTGTTTCTAGACCATCCCAACATATTAAGGCGCGCAATTGTAGCTATGGCATTCCCAACAAATGAATCGGCCTTGGCAACTATGCGTGGCAACCATGAACACCACTGGTGAGGAACAAAAACACAGCACACATCTGCAACCAGGCAGCCGGCAGTCAAAGCTGTCCAGTCACTACAGGCATAGGCTCTAAATGCATGTGCAGGTTACTACTGGCCCACATAAGGCAACCTTTCGAAAATATGTATGTATGTGTGTACACATATATATATATATAATATATATTAATACATATGTACACACATGACTATATATATATATAGTCACATATAGTTTCGCTTGCGCGTACACTCCTTACAGGCCCGAACTCGATCCGTGCCATCGGCCGATTTCGATGTCGAGGATCGGAAGCCCTCCATGTCCTGCCGGGGCAAGGCCTCGGATGCGAAGAGTTCTGGGCGGAGTCACGACTTCTTTCTGGGGTTCAAACCACTTTTAAATCAAGAGGGGTTCATGGAACCATCGATTGAAATGAAGGAGTTTCATCATCCAAATTGGGTGAACCACCTTTAAGTCACGAGGGGTTATGGAACCATCGATTGCCTGAATGGAGTTTCATCATAAACAAAAAGGGTGTTGAACCCTGGGATTCAAGTGGGGTTAACCGAACCATTGATTAATCTGATTGCATAGGTGTCCTTTTTGGTTGATTCCTGGTTTACCTGGTGGTTCAATCGGGTTACCCTCCGATCCACTAACATGGAACCCACCGCAGGATCGCTTGAAAAGGAACGTGGTCTTCCAGGAGCAGGAATCCTGCGTAAGGTTCCGTGTTTGTGGATGGGAGGGTAATAGAACCATTGATTCCCCAAGGAGTTTCATCATCCAAATTGGGCCAACCATTGTTTTTGATGGAGGCTGAACCCCAAAGTTCCTAGTTGTCGTTGTGCGTGCTAAGCTGGCCCTAGATCTTAGATCCTGGGGAGCAGGGTTGGTCAAGAAAAAATGACGCTTATCGGGAGGAGGTTGTGGGGGCATGTTCCTTCTTCAGACAAGTTGTTTAAGCTTAAGCAACAAACAGCCCCTCCCAAGATACCCAGATACCCTTGACCATTGTAGTAAGCCCAGCTGAAGCAACCTGCTACTGGGTGTGCAGCCCATGATAGCGGACTCAGGCAGACAAGCTCCCCAAGACGAAATGTGTTTTTTCCACGTTGTGAATGCTGCGATACATCGGCCGGTGCCTTGTGCATGATAGTAGTTTCAACTTTTGCGGATATGTTTGTAAAGTCGCTATGACCTATAACGAAGCGAGCACAAAGTTTACAGACCCGACGAAGCATGTGGTATTTCCGGTCAGTCCAACTTGTGAGTGATACACTTCCTTCACACTAGCATGGCACCTTGCAGGGAATTCCTGTAAGGTGCCATGTGAAAGTACCCCCTCAGGGCCCCCCCCAAAAAAAAATCGGGGTCTCGAAACGCCAGGTGTTTTTTTTTTTTTTTATAGGTCCCATGAGTTGAATTGGTCGTTTTTTTTTTCTCCATGGGAGGGTCCCTTGGGTCTGCGTCGGAACTGAGCGAAGCGGCAGTCGATGTCGCAGCTGCCGGAGCCGGAGTCCTCCAAGGCTCGGGCACCGGGGCGTAGACGGGGGGGGGGGGCGCATAGGTGTCCTTTTTGGTTGGTTTGCTTAAAAAAACCAGGGCCCTGGTTTAGATGGTTTATTAATTCCATTTACCAGGGCCATCTACTTTTCCAACAGGCCACCTATGGGGGGGGAGCGGGTTCCTTTGAGCTGTGCCTAGCCTTTCGCACCACCGAACGTGGAGCCTGACCGGGACCAAAATGGTCTTCCCGGGCCCCCTGTCAGGTCCCCTGTTAATTGGTGGGAAGGTTCCCTAGTTGTACCGAAAAAGACGCAAGTCTCCCACCAGTTAGCATGGAACGGGACCCGGTCCCTTTAAAAGGGAAACGGCCTTGCAGGATGCCCCGAACGTCAGGTTCCATGTTAATGGTACCCTTTTCCGCAAACGAGTGTTTTCCTCTTGGGACCTTCTTTGTCCTCTTGGGTCCTGCAGCCTTGGCACCAGGATCTGGGCAAACGAACACTGGCGCTGCGTGTGTATGATTTGCTTTCTGGGGCCCTTTGGCGGACGTCGTCTACGTGGGGAGTTATGCCCTCCGACATGTTGAGCGGGATTCCCCTATGAAGATTCAACGTGATGCCATGATCTCCCGAAGCGTCTGAGTTACACGGTAGAACAAATCTAGCTCTTTTGTATCCCTTCGAAGAGCGATACGCATATTCTACTTGCCTTTGGCAGTGACCTTGAGAGCAACAGATGGATGCACGGATCGGTATGTGTTTGAAGCCCATGCGCAGATTTGGAGTTTGTAAGTGTTGGATTGGAACGTTTGGACGTGGGCGACTGAGTCGTCATGGAACAAGGCAGACCAGGGCTTTATGATATTGAGCATGATTTTAAGCTGCGCATCCTTTTGATGGCGAATCGTAGCTGCCACTACCGAGTGGCAGTGGGGGGTTGCTTTTTTGAGGGCACCTTTGGGTCGGCTCAAAGCAAATCACCAATTTTGGGGGCACATGCCTGGAGCCGCCCTCATTCACTTTTGTCCTAGACACTTTTTCTAGAAGTTGTTTGGCGTTCATTGTTTTGCTTGTTTCCATCTGTCGTGTGACTTGTCTGTCACGTAGTCACCCTCGAACTTTCCAGACGTGATCTTGACAGCCGAAACACTGGCCGTGAGAGCCACTCGCAGAGGCCTCTTACAGAAATCAGCTTCACGCGCAGGTGTCCCATACTTGGTTGCGCCATGTACTCATATGTCGCAACTAGATATCCTAGGTCTTCCAGTAGTGCCCTTTTACCCGTTCTTGGGGGAGGGTTCCCCTACTATAATAGACTACAGAAAGAAGGGTACCCTTATTCTAACCTCTCTACTGGAGGACCTAGTAATTATCGGGCCCGGAATGCCACCGAAGCAAACATGTTTCTCAAGGCAGCATCTTGTTCATGAGGTCCTGTTTCGTCCCAAGTCTCCCTCGATCAGACGCACCTCCCATGTATGCCCCTTGAGAGTGATTCATCAGCTCGCGTTTCCGTTGGTTTTCCGCAGGCAAGCGACGAGACAGTGGAGACCGAGCAGGCACTTGCAAAAATGCCTTTCCATTTGCTGAAATGAGTATTTTTCATTTGCCCCTGTTTTTAATGGTTTGGTGGGATCCCCACAATAACTGATGGTCAGCCCCAGAAAAGGGTGCGCTTTTAGGGTCGCTGAAGTGGGACAGCTTCTTTTTTCATCCGAGAGAGGCCCAGCAAAAGGATATTCCTCCAATCGCTTTGAGACAGTCAGATATCGTGCTCCATGTCCACTGACTTACTTCCTGTGCTCATGGACTTTAAACTTTTGGGGAAAGCCATTTTAGTGGTAAGTGAGCCGTGCATATTTTTGTTGGCCAGTCTATTCAGCAAGTGCGCTGTCAAATTTAAACTAATCGAAGAAGTGTTTGATCTGCGGCCAGGAACGCAAAGGCTCGATGCGAAGAAAGGCGCCTTGTTTGAAGCGAGCACGGCATTTCTTTCGAGACTTTTCAGGGGTGCATGACCAGCCCAGAGAGGAGTATTTCTTGTGCCGCGCTTGTAAGGCTTCAAGGTCTTCCATGGATGAGGCAGGCTGCCGTGGTTGTTAAAGCTGAATCAGATGTTGAATATGTGTTTGCGTAGGATGAGAAGAAGTCTGAGAAGTCTGGCGAGGCTGGAGATGCTGTATGCAGCATACATGTTCAGAATTTGGAAGTTTAAGCAAGCCAAGGAAGCTGATTTTATAGCAGGGGAGGCAGAGGGACAGGCTCTTTCTTGCTGGTTGCAACATGATTGTCATGTACTTCGTCAGGTTTTGACTTGACATGTGTCCAAGGAGCGCCGCTCGAGGAGGAAGGCTCCTTGCCCGAACGAAGCCAACCGTGCGGATGAGTTGAGCCGCGCGCACTAAGGCTTCAGGGCCAGCCGAAGAGGCTGACAAGAGATCGGAGAAGTCTGGCGAGGACAGACATGGGAGCTTCAGCGCTTGGCTGTAGCAAGACATATCCTACTTAGCTCCCTATATAATCAAGCTGTTTAGACAGGGAGTACGGCTGTTTAGACAAGGGAGTTCGGAGTACGGCTGTTTTCGGCCCTGTGCAGCTGCATGACTCTTTGCATTTACCAAGTCTTTGTTTGACGCTGAAAGCCAAGGCACAACCCTTGTGTATCAGAAGTAGCGTCCCCCCTACACAGACGTTGCTTGGGAAGGTCTTTCATCAGCAGGAGCGAATCACTATGTCACGTGAGCTTTCGCTGGTAGCAGGTTTGGAATTGCACCACGAGTCTGGAAAGAAGCGCATTGGCAACTGGCTGTGTTTTGCGGCATGGAGGTCTGAGTAATACAGAACATGCACACATATACATATATATATATGAATATATATATATATATATATACATTATAAAGAAGCAGACGGCGTCACCGGGTGGTTTTCGTGCATCCAAGCTCTTTTGCGGGTGCATCCGTTTGCAGGTTGCTGGCAAAGCGGTCGTTTGTACCCACGAACCGGTACATGGGAAAATTTGCGAGTGGAACCTGTATCGACATTCCTCGATGGGCAAGTTGATGCGTTCAATCTTGGAAAACACCAAGGAGCTGTGCATGCAGTGCCACGAGGATAGGAACCCGGAATTTATTGGCCCTGGTGGATCTATGGATGTTCCATTTTCCTTTGGATCCAAATTTTTGGTGGAGACGTGCGGCACGGGGCAGGAACGCAAGAGGTCCACGAGAAGAAGCGCTGCTTGACTAAAGATGTGACTTGAAGTGAGCTGAATCTTCAGTGTACATCATTCACAGCGTTCGTTCTTGGAAGGACACCTGATACCCCTCTCACCCACCTACACGGAAGCGCAAGGGCCTATTATTTGGATGACTACCCCACCCTTTTTGGAAAGGGAGGTGATGTACACCGAGCCAAATGGGAGGGCTCACTGCCGGAGATCAGATCTGGGCAAAAGTGCTCACAAGATTTACCCGAGGCTTCGCGGCCCTCCCTGGAGGCAGGATGCTGTCGCGGACATATCTGAGCCGGATGAATCAGCTGCCTCGAATCTGAAGCAAAATGGTGGTTTCTTAGACTATCCTTTTCCATTACTCGGGGGAGGGGGGGGGTCGGCCCGCATTGAAGAGATTTGTGCAAATGGTGGCTTCTGGGGATCCTTCGGCAGGGAAATTTAAGCTGGGGTCGACATTCGGTGGCACTGGAAAAGAGCTTCGTATATGCGCAGGATGACAAAAAGTCAGAGAAGTCTGGCGAGGCCGGAGACGAGAGCCCCAGAACATGTTCATGTTCAAAGTGCTCCTCAGCTCCTCTTTTGGGAGCGCTCTTTAGCCGCAAGGCCCCATGGCAGGTTTGGTTTGTGGTCCGCATCCTTGTGAGATACAAGCTAGCTCATCAAGTGGTTGCATTCTAGGCGACAAACCTTTGTGACTTGAAGGCGATTTCGATTCCTCTTTCGAGCTTCGGTCGGCCGAACCATTTCGAGCACATGGCTTCGCAAGGAGCGCAAAAGCTCGATGAGAAGAAAGGCTCCTTGGCTGTTGAGAAGCCAATGGGCAGGGATTGAGAAGCGCTTCATCCTCGCTTCGATTCGACAAAGCTGTGAAGCGGACCTCTGAGGCATCCAAATCTTCCCTGGAGGAGGCCTTCGGCTCGGTGGTTGACAGACTAGGTCCCCCAGTAGTGCCCTTTCTCACCACTTTTTTTGGTTGGGAGGGTTCCCCTACTAAAATCGACTACAGAAAAAAGGGTACCCTTGTTCTAACCTCTCTGCTGGAGGACCTAGCAGACTTTCCGCGGTTGCCTTGGCAATGTGCAGGACGATAAGAAGTCTGAGAAGTCTGGAGAGGCTGGAAATAGCTTTGTCGCATTTGCCCATGTTTCGTCGAAGTTTGCCAACACAAATTGTGTTTCTTAGAATGCGTCCCATGGACAGAGTTCCCCTTCGGCTTGTTGAAATCAAGCCATGGGGTGGAGTTTGAGACACTCGCCACATTGACATGATGTACCGTCAGACAATGGTGTATTGCTCACACAGTTTGGGCGTGTCCTTTGTTGAGGGTAGTTTTAAAGGGGAACCAACAGGAAAAGGGGGTCTGCTAAAACAGACGCACCGATTTGCACGCTGCACAATACCAGCTTGCCATTTGATTGCATAGGATGCCATGCCACCTATTATTTTATCAATATGGGGCAGCACCTTTTAGCCCCCTTCTCAAAGTGAGAGATCCGTGTGTTTTCCTAGACCTCCGCTGGGTTCTTTGGGAGATGGTTTCCATGAATTCGCATCAAGCACAACAAGAAACCAACTCGGTGCCACGTTCTGCCGGTTTTAAGGGTTGCCCAAACGAGACTAAAAAATACTTGGAGTTCTGTCTCCATTCTTGGCTCTGCCCACCAACCTTGTCAACCCCTCACGTTGCATTGACCCTTCTTTTAAATAAAACAACAAATCCAACACCCAAGCCAGGATTCTTTACGCAAACACCCGAACGCCAATTTTTTCTTGTTACCCAACACCCAAGCCATGCTTTACACCTTCAAAAAAGAAAAGAAGCAGCCAACCCAAGCCATGATTCAGGTTTAAGACACAGCATGGGGTTTTCTCCCACAGACCCCCCCCCCCCCCCCCGGTGGGTTTTCACCGAAGAACGCGGGGAACGGTCAGGAGAAGTCCCGCAGGTCTCAGGAGCTCGGATCGCGGATCGCGGGCCGTGGGCGCCGCGGGGGTTTTGCCGGGCGGTTTTTTTGGGGGTCCCAGGAGCCCCCTGGTCTTTTACAGGGGCTCTTTTCACGACTCAGAAGAAAAAACAAAAAACTACGAGTTCCTTTTTTTGGGGATTTCTTCCATTGAAGTGAAGATGTCGGTGGATTTTCCCCTGGGTTTTGAAGAGAAGCTATCACTGCCGGAAATATGTCCTCATTTGTTCCAGGGGGCCTGAGGAAATGGAAGGTGAACTCCAAAAACCCACCGAAAAAAAGTACCAACTCTAGAAGAGAGGAGCCAGAAAAAAGGCGAGCCACTGTTGGGGCATGTGTCACAAGGACCCAAATGGATTGACCTGCCAAGCTGGTTTCCGCGTTTTCGCTTGCGGTTTGGGGGTGGAAGCTATCTTGGATATGTGTCAACAGGGGTACTCTCCTGCAGGCATGTTTGGATCCCAAGAGTTGCTGCCCATAGGAGAGTCCTCTACCAGGGATGGTGTTAAGGTTCCGTGTTGGTCTGCAGGAGTGTACATTTACTTGTATGGGTTGCTGTTTTGGGCAGGATCGTCCTTGCAAACTTTCCGTGGACAGATAATTCATTCTCACCGTTCCTCACATCCTATAGTTGATCCCGGAAACGGTGCAAGTGATGGGTGCCTGGTTTGATGTTTTGCGCCAGCTACTCTTAGCATTCCTTCGAGCATGTCAATGCCCAGAGCTAAAACAAACAACCTGAAAAAGAAACAGAACACATCCTGAGTCACATAGTCACATCTCAACCCCAAGTTTCCCTCTGCGCAAAGCGCCGCCGTTTTCTTGCTGGTGCTCACTGGGGAATGACCCGGGGTTTGGGAATGAACCTGGGGGTCCCCTTAAATAGTAAAAGAAGCGACCAGTTGGATGGTTTATAGGGGTCATTCCCTCCTCCCTGAAAGGACACCACGAGTTGGATGGTTTCTCTTAGGGTCGCTCCCTAACTCTCATTGCCTGCATCTCTCGCTCCGATCGCAAGTCTTGGACATCACCTTTAATTTCCCCAACCTTCCTTTTTTTTGGTGGTTTGAAAGATCACCTTGGGCCACTTCAAAAAGTGAGTTTCCCTTGGGGTGACGTTCAAAAGCTAGGTCCCCCAGCTAGGTGCCCTTTTTTGGTTGGGAGGGTTCCCCTACTAAAATTTACTACAGAAAACAAATGGCACCGACTTATTCTAACCTCTCTACTGGACTACTGGAGGACTTAGTCAAAGTCAGTAGCTGGTTGGTTGAATCCCTGCAACCCACTTAGGGAGTGACTTTGATGGTAATCGTCTGAGGCCAGTAGGGACTTTGGGTTTCCTTTGGGGTGGTGTTTAGAAGGGCAAAACTCCCCCGGGAGCGCCAGGAGAAGGTTGAGAAGTCCAGGTCCGAGCGCTCCGAGCGCTCCGACCGGTCCCAGAGGTCCGAGCGCTCGCAGGACGGGGGCGGGGCGGGGGGGGATCTGAGGGACGGCCTGGTTGACCCCCCGTTTTTGTCAGGGTTCCATGTGCGGCTTTTTTTTTTTTGTCAAGCTCCCTTTTGCCAATATGTGGTTTTCCCCCTTGTTTTTTTTTGCTGAAATTGAGTTTCGTTTCTATTTCCCCTTGTTTCATAGCATGGGAATCTATCACTACTGGAGATATGGTCTCATGTTTTCCAGGGTGTTTTCTTTTTTGGCCAAGCTCCTTGTTTTCCCCTGGTTTGTTTTTCGTTTTTGGAATCGATTTCACTACACATAACCTCAGCGGCTTCAGCTACTGGGCTTCCGGGGTTCCAGAGGCATGTCCCTAAGGGAACCTCCAGAGGCGGATCGATTTTGAGACGAAACCGCCGACGGTGCCAGTGACCCTAGGTGTCCTTTTTGGGTGTTTTTGGGTTGACAATTTGGTGACCCTAGGTGTCCCTAGGTTTTTGGTGGTTTTGGTGGTTTTGGTGGTTTGGTCGGGCGATCCCTGGGTTTTACCTGGTGGTTCAATGAACTGCCAGGGATTTCACCCATCTATTTTCAACCAAACAGGACACCGAAATCCAGTGACCGGTTCCCTTGTCTCTTTGAACGAATAGGCACTTCGTCAAAAGCGGCTTTCGCTTCTGTCAAGGCGCATTGGAGGTGCATTCATTTCGATTGAGAACATGCAGCCTTCAGGTGCCAACCAGAGAAACATGGGACACGGAGCTCATGTTGCAGCGCGAATGGGAAACTTGGTCCCCAGTAGTGCCCTTTCTCACCTTTTTTGGGGGAGGGTTCCCCTACTACAACAGACAACAGAAAAAATGGGTACCAACTTATTCTAACCTCTCTATTTTCTGGAGGACCTAGTCAAAGTCAGCAACTGGTTGGTTGTTTCCCTGTACCCCACCACTTAGGGGGTGACTTTGATGGTAAAATCGTCTGAGGCCAGTAGGGGGTGACTCGACTGACCCACTGGAACACCACTTTACCTAGGCAATGCCCCTTCCGGGTTTTGGACATCAATCTAGAAGGAAACCATTCTGAGAAAAAGACACCCACCAAAACACAACTTGATCTGCGAAAGAGGCACCATGAAATCCCCCGCTTGCGCGGATCTCGCGAGGAGCGGAGGACGAGGAGCTCCCGTCGCGGTCCCGCGGAGACTCAGGACAGCTTTGGTTCTCGGCCTTGTGAGCCATCCCCGGCCGCTTGGAATTCTGGGTCCCCCAGTGGTGCCCTTTTACCCTTTTTTGGGGGAGGGTTCCCCTACTAAAATAGACTACCGAAAAAAAGGGTACCCTTATTCTAACCTTTATAATGGAGGACCTAGAATTGAAATGGGGGGGAGGGGCAACCCTTGGAATTCCACATGGAAATGGAACTTCAGCTCTCAACCCCCCGGCAATTCCGTTTCAAAGTGCAAGTGACAAGGTCATTCGTTCTTGCGGATTCCTTCTAGGTGGATTCCTGCAGCTGACAAGGGGCACCATGTCTAGGTCCTGTAGAGAGATGTCCAAAGGCTCGATTTTCCCGATGCAAAAGGCTAGATGAATGGAATTGGCGGGATCCCCCCTCCACATTTCCAGGGCTCCGGGCAAAACATCACTTTTTTGGGGTGGTTTAAAACATCACCTTTTAGGCCGCACTTAAAGTGAGCTTCCTTGTGATGATGTTCAATGGGGAGTTATGACAACAACTCTGAGCCCTTGCGACTATCAGAGGTACGTTGAGGCGTACTGATGGCTTTTCACAGTCGTGGATGCGATTCGAGTCTTTCGCAAAACCAGCTTGTCCACTAGATAGTGGGAACAGCCTCTCCGGTGGGATCTTACGTCCTGATTTCCTGAACATCCCCACCCGCTTAAAAATGGAATTGGGGGAGGGGGGTGGTGACCTTGGAATTTTAGTCATTTTCCCTTGTGTGTTTTGTTTGGGGAAGAATTATTTCCATACTAACTTGCACTAAACGTGGGCATCTTGCTTTTGGTTGGGAGGTTTAGTGGTTCCCATGATGAGCGAGTTTCTATGAAACGGACTTTGGGCCGATGGGGATAATTTGTTGATGCGAATAGGCACTGACCGGGGACACCTCGAGCATGAGGAGTTGCGCCCACGCCATAATTCAGCAGCGTGAATCCAAGCCGGACGGAGGGTCATGCATGGCGAAGACTTCTGTATTTCTTGTCAAGTCTTGACGCATTTGACAGATAAACTAAACCTCCTTTGCGTTCAGCGGTAATAAGTTGCGTCAATGAAGCAGCTTGTGGGTGTGTCTCCTTTTGTGAGGATACCCAGTTGAGCTACAATCAAACCCCGGGTAGATGAAGGTTAGTAAGAGGCATTCCAGCCAGAAATAGGTGCAGCCGCCTTTTGATGTTCTTTCAGGGATTTGGGGATCGACCATTCTACTACCGATCGGTTTTGATGGTGACTCATTTACCCATTTGGGTGTTTCTCAAAGCCAGTCCCATTCCTATTTTGAGAAACACCCATTTGGTCGTTGTTGTTCATTTGGGGACGCCAAAGGGAGCGATGCGATACCCGTGTTTTATGGCCTTCGAGACTTGCCGGCAGGATGCGCATGCCATCGCCGAGGCGGGAAGAACGGAATTGTGTTTGCCTCATGGGAGGGCTTTCTCCATAAAAGTGGGGCCCTGAATTGGTGCTTTGGATTTGTGGTTTTGATTTTCTGTTTCGAACGTTTGGTTCTTGTAGAGGGCACACCCCTAAACCACCAAACCAACAATCCAAACCCCAATTGGAGGGAAGCTGAATGGGTGTGTCGCAAAATTTGGGAACCCCACAAACGGAGGTTTTCCTTTTGATTTCCCTTACCAACCTGAAAACGGAACCCAAAGAAATCTGGAACCAAAGAAGGGTTGGCATCCCAAAAATGACTCAAACATTGAATCATAGGCTTGGGATTTTATGTCAATCTGAGTGCCTTCCGGCACAACCGTCACTCAGCTGGATGCACCCCATAGCTCACATTGCAAGGTTTGGCTTACCCTTTTGACATTCTTTCATCTTTGCTGTTCCGTCACCTCCCCCGTTTTTGTCCCATTGCCCTTTTGCCAAGTTTGCCCGCTTTTTACCAAGGAAACAAAGTGCCTGTAGAGAGGGGTCTCTATGGGCGTGGCTTGTTTTTAGGGGACCCCCCCCCATCAAAAGATTGTGGCTTTCCTCTTGGTTTCCTTTTAAGGCCAAAAAAAGGTGTACCCTCCAGAAAGGACGGACCCCAACTTTTGCGACGAGCCACCGTGAAGCTGTAGGAACATAGGTGTCCTTTTTGGTTGATTTGGCTGAAAAATAGAGGGCCCTGGTTTTCCTGGCGGGTCAATCAACTACCAGGGCCATCTATTTTCACAAAAAGGACACCTATGTGTAGGAAGGTCGCTCAGCGGAAGCTGCCGGGGAGAGACTGCTCAAACATCCGGGAGGAATCACAGCGAACTAAAGCCCTAGTTGAGCCACGTGCTCAAAACCCGGGTAGATGATTCGGTTAGTAAGGGGCAGTCCCAGCCAAAATGGAAGTAGTTGCGGATCTTCGCCTTTCTAATTCTTGAAGCATGGTTCTGGGGATCGAACATTTTTGTACCGATCGGTTTTGAGCAAGTGACTCAGCAGGGCTTCTAATAAGATCTCCATTTTGCAACCATTTGAAACATGTTGCTGTTTGAACACCAAAACAAAGTTGCTTCTTGTACCAGGTTTTGATTGTGACTCAGTTGGCAAGTCGCAAAAGTTGGGACTGAACATTGGCCATGAATTTTGCATAGGGAAACCACCTCAAAGGTGGCTGGACATGAATCTGCACCTAAATCATGTCCACCAAAGGGCCCCTGATGAAAAGATTTAAATACTCAATGGTGTTTCGCGGTTTTGTTTTGTTTGGTCTCCCTTCCAGGCCATTGAACAAGGGCATCCGTATATGGCGACCCCATTTGGGTTCTTTGTTCTTGGTTGGTGCCGTCTTGACGTGATCCCCGCAGCCCGACTTGTCAGTTGCAGGGATTTGTGTTTGGCATCCTCACTAGCTGCTTAGTTGGGCAACAACCCAAGTTTCCCTCTTCCAGCTGAGAGTTATGATTTCCTAGTTTTCAATGACAGCTTCAAATCAGGACACCTGCCAACTGCCACAATTACAACTACTCCATGAGTTGTTCGCACTACTTCTGCTTCTGTGGGCAGGCGTCCTAGACGCCTGGAAACCAAGGAGAACAACTTCAAACTTCAGACGCCAAACTTAAACGACCACCTCTGGAGTGAGTGCTGCGTCCCGAAGCCGAGCTTTCTCTTTTCGGGGAATTACCTGAAGCAAAACCCGGGCATCTTGCGCATGACGTTTCCACACAGCGAGGGGCCGGGGGGGCGGAAGAGGCGATGTCAGGCTGAGGCCCCATGAATTCAAGCTGCTGGCTCCGGAGGTCTTTTGGTGCATGAAAGCTATGTGCTTTTCGTAGGGCCTTGAGCGTTTGGAAGATGGGACTACACCCCACAGTTCAAAAGCTTCGGATCTCTCCTGACATCCAAGCTTGCAAATCCGATGTCCGGATTTGTTGGACCACTGTAAATGCTGTCCTGGAAGGATCATCCTCACAACTGGGGTTCCCCCTCGTCCCCATGTTCAGGGATTCCCTCCCATATTTTTTGGCGGAGACGGGTGGTTTCTGAACAGAAGGATGGGTGAACAGAATGGGGACACATGCTGCCTGTTGAATCAACAAGCCTCGAGTGGAGTCGTTTGCAGGCAGAGAGGCTGGCGCAGGAGGCCTGTGCCGTAAGCGAGTCGACGGGATTTGTTGGACCTGCCAAAAATGGGGCGCAATGGGTGTCCCCTGAGAAGGGCTTCCCTTTAGAATTTAAAACCCTTTGGCAACAAGCAAACAAGAAAAGACAAACCCTCATGGCGGATGTCTAGATAGGTGTTGGATAGGTTTTGCAGACTTCTCAGCGCAGCTGGTTCACAACGAAGCGGAAGGGGCTAAATCAAAGAAGGGATAGTTTTTGCGGGTCATTGGAACTCAATCCCTGGCAGCCAACAAGAAAGTCGCGGTCCCAAAGTCAGTTCCGACAACTTTCATGGGTTGTCGCAGATTCCAGTATGCATGATGGTTTCTTTTCACACGCAACCACACATATCTCTCAACACAAGCTTTGTTTGGTGAGGGGAGGACGCGCGTTGGTGCTTCCAAGTTAAGTGTCAGGGGGGAGAAGTCATTATCATCGAAGGACTTGTTGCATCAGTTGCATCATGTGCAGTGACTCGGGTAATTTGATTTTTGGGTGCGTGCATTAGGTAATTCCGATGCGCACTCTCACTCACATGTGGCCGCTCAGATTCTGAAGGGCACTTGGGTTCAATCTTCTAGAGAGCCTCTAAACTGGTTCCCAGTGATCTCTCTCTCCAATGGCTCCTTTTTTTTTCCCTGCCAGGGTAAAGAAACGTACCATTTTCATATGGCCATGGGTCAGAACCTATTCCTCCATTTTGGGGCGGATGAACACCCATGTACCACCTATTTTTATTTTCACCAAAAATAGAGGGTTTTGACCCACAGCCATATCAGCCTTCTTTCTTGGCTCGCATGCCAAGAAGGCACTCGAAAGCTTGGCTAGGCCGCGCAAAGACAAGCGTACGAGCTTGAGCAGGCACGACTTTGGTGCGCGTGTCAGAGTTCAAGAGATCAAAAACCCGGGTGGATGAAGGTTAGTAAGGGACGATCCCAACCAGATTTAGCTGCGCCGCCTTCTAAATTCTTCACATGGTTACAGGTAGACCATTTTTAATACCAGGTTTTGATTGTGACTCAGTTGAATTAAGAGCGGCTGTGCAAACATGCCACATGCAGACTGCTTGATCCCAGGCACACTTGAGGGCGCAAGAGGAAGCCAGGATCAGGGCAGAGGAGATCGAGCGGATCAGGACAGAGGAGACCGAGCGAATCCGTGCAGAGGAGCTCGAGAAGTTTAGGGCCCAGGAGGAAGCCAGGATTCGAACGGAGGTCGAGCGAATCAGGGCAGAAGAGGAAGCCATCAGGGCAGAGCAAGAGGCCAGGAACAGGGCTCAAGTGGCTGCGCAGATGCCAGCCTACGAAGAGGCCAGCCCGGGGGGGGGGGGGGCTACGCGACTGCACGGTCAGATGCCGGCACTGGCTTTTGGAGATCACGCGCCCTTTGAGCCGTGGTCAAAACGCCATGGGTTTTCGCGGGTCAATTGATAATTATCTAAGAAAGCTTTGAATGGTGACAACTTATTTGATTCGTGGAACTGGCTGCCATTCCGGTTTTCACTTTTGAAGCATTTCTTTTCCTTCCGCCTTTTCCTTTCGCCGTTTCCTTCCGCTCTACCCAAGAATTTCCCGACCTTGTGACACATTCCCCAATGCCCACCAACGAAGCTCACGCTCGCTCGCGACAGGTGATGCGAACTTCGAGAAGGGCCCGCGCCTGAGCACTGGAAGTTCCCAAGGAAGATGTTCGCAGCTGTCGTCAAACATATGATTTCGCCCCGATGTTTTGGACGAATACGATCATGTGAATTTACTGTTCTCCTTAGCCTGATTCAAGAGAATGGAGCGATGTGAGTCCTAATTGTAAGCTCTTCGCGTTGCCCGCCTCGGCCAGTCCGCTTTAGGCTGGCTTTGAGGTATATACTGCGATTGAGTTTGCCTTGAAGTGTTGTGTTTATGAAAGTAACGACATGCGTGAGTTGGTTTCCAAGGTAGAGGGTGGGTGCATGTCCGCATGTTTCCACATGAACGAGAGCCGCAGAGAGCTAGAATGGCAGCGGGCTTGGGCTTGTGCCAATCGAAAGTGCGATTAACTTGGGAATTCAACTGGTTTCCTCCCTTGGCTGGAGTTGGACCTGTTTTTAGCTGAGGTTTCTAAAGGGGAGTTTGACCAGTTTCATGGGATTATTGGGTTTTTCGAGGCGAACTTGACCGGCTTTTTAAGGAATTTGACTGCTCTCTAGGGGGATCTGAGTTGGACCGGTTTTGAGAGGGGGTTTGACTGGTTTCTAGGGGGTGGCCGGGATTTGACTGGTTTGCAGATGGGAAGTTCACCGGTTTCTAGGTGTGATTTGATCGGCTTCTAGAGGGGGATTTGACGGACTTTAGAGGGGTTTGATTCGGTTTGATCAGTTTAATTTGATCGACCGGTTTCTGGAGGAGTTTGACCACAGTTGGACCGGTTTTGCGAGGGGGTTGGACTGGTTTTAGCTTGTGACCAGTTATTCAACTGAATAACATGCTCCCCACATGCCGAACTTGAAAGCACAATCATCCGGTTGCCTTCAATTGCCAAGAAAAGAAGGTTGCCGTTTGAGCTGGAGGGGGGGGAGCTAGCGTAAACCGTCTTCCACCCCATTTCCACAAGCGAAGCTGCAATCAAGACAAATTAAGAACCCAGCTTGCAGAATGATTCCTCGGTGTACTTTGCTTGTTCATCTAACAGGTTTGGTCGCTTGTGTGCTTGGAAGAACATGACCTCCAGCTGAAATGATAAAGAAGGCAAATGAATGGATAGAGGAAAGCAACAAGTACTGCGGATGGACAAACTGCACCAGTTGGGATTGATGAAGCCCCATGAATACTGAGATAAACCACCTACCAACTGGCGTGAAGCTCGATTTTGCCCATTCACGGTTGCCCATTCACGGTGCGAGTTGACAGGGAGGATGCTTGGATCAACTTGCCCTCCGCTGAGGGCTCAATTTCCATGCTGCCCGCAGAGGAGGCATGGCGCAGATGGAACTGAAGGATTCAGACCGTATCGCCTGGATTTGTTTTATTGTTTTAAAGAAAGCAGGTCAGACTTCAGATCCCCTAAAAAAAGAGACACCCAGATGTGGAGTTCAGCTAAAAGCAGGGCTTTCAACAATAGGATTCCATGTGTTTCGTCACTAAGGTTTCCAATCATGCCCGAGTTGTTGTTTTCTTTTTTCGGACGTCAACAGGTCAATGACAACGCGGGGTGGGGTGAGCCTTCTCGGTGGTCATGTGGCACGCGGCAGCTGTTGGGCGTGCCCAGTGTTGTTTTGCAATCCTCTCATGTTGCAAGACCCCTTTGTTTTTCTATGCCCACCGATACTGACTTGAGTCAAACCACTTCCAAGTGCAAATTGAATCCTTGGTGAACTGGCACCTGCCCCCATTCATTTGTTTTGCAACTTGCTGGTTCTCAGCACCCAACGCAGCAGCAAATTGCAATTCCTGGATGACTCAAATTTTCAGGCAACCTGCGCTGGACTCCTCGTTCTGCGTGTTCGGATGGCCACGGTCTGACCCATGTCTAAATTGTGAGTCTAGCTTTGGATTCCGGCAAAGGGAGAGCACAAGACTCCAGTGGAGTTCATGCGAAATCCCTTTCAAGTTTGTCAGACCTTTTGAATGTCTGGACAGAAGGACGCCAATATGCCCCTGCTAGCACGTGACAAGCGCAGTGCATCTGTGGATATCCATTGGGTTTGGAGGGTTTGATGCCACTGGCCAGAAAGTGACTGTAGAGTGGGGCAAAAATCGGCTACTCGCAGGGTTCCCTGTATTTCCCCCGTTTGGTGGTGTTAAAATGTGTTAAACCACCTTTTAGTCCCGTTAAAGCGAGCCTGCATTGCAAGGGTTGATGATGCTTTACGGGCAATCAGAAAGGGATCCCCTGTCAAACCAAGCAGTCCCTGTTTTTCAGAAGTACTTTGGTGCATTTTGCCAAGGGCTGTTAGGACTTTAACTTTGGGTTTTCCATCAAACCACTGCACGTGAAACTTTTAGCAGGGGAGCAGAAAGCAAGCGAGAGTAGGCTGGTTAAACAGAAAGTGGTTCGGACAGGTGGAGACGCCCCGTCTTTCGCAGACTCGACGACGGGCCGCGGCCCTGAGTCGAAACATGGCTTTTTCCGGGCCAAGGCAAAGCTGGGTGCAAGGCTGTTTCTTCTTCTTTTGTTTGTTTGTTTGTTTGCTTGTTTGCTTGTTTGCTTGTTTGCTTGTTTGCTTTTTTGCTTGTTTGCTTTTTTGCTTGTTTGCGTGTTTGCTTGTTTGTTTGCTGTTTTGCTTGTTTGCTTTTTTGCTTGATTGCGTGTTTGCTTGTTTGCTTGTTTGCTTGTTTGTTTTTTTGCTTGTTTGCTTTTTTGCTTGTTTGCGTGTTTGCTTGTTTGTTTTTTTGCTTGTTTGCTTTTTTGCTTGATTGCGTGTTTGCTTGTTTGCTTGTTTGCTTGTTTGCTTGTTTGCTTGTTTGCTTGTTTGCTCTTGTGCTTGTTTGTTTGTTTGTGTGCTTGTTTGTTTGACTGGTTTTTGTTTGTTTGCTTGCTTGCTTCCCTTGCTTGCTTGCTTGCTTGCTTGCTTGCTTGTTTGTGTGTTTGTTTGTTTGTTTGTTTGTTTGTTTGGTTGGTTGGTTTGTTTGTGTGTTTGTTTGTTGGTTTTCTTTGTTTGTTTGTTTGTTTGTTTGTTTGTTTGTTTGTTTGTTTGTTTGTTTGTGTGTTTGCTTGCTTGCTTGCTTGCTTGTTTGTTTGTTTGTTTGTTTGTTTGCTTGTTTGCTTGTTTGCTTGTTTGCTTGTTTGCTTTTTTGCTTGTTTGCTTTTTTGCTTGTTTGCGTGTTTGCTTGTTTGTTTGCTGTTTTGCTTGTTTGCTTGTTTGCTTGTTTGCTTGTTTGCTTTTTTGCTTGTTTGCTTTTTTGCTTGTTTGCGTGTTTGCTTGTTTGTTTGCTGTTTTGCTTGTTTGCTTTTTTGCTTGATTGCGTGTTTGCTTGTTTGCTTGTTTGCTTGTTTGTTTTTTTGCTTGTTTGCTTTTTTGCTTGTTTGCGTGTTTGCTTGTTTGTTTTTTTGCTTGTTTGCTTTTTTGCTTGATTGCGTGTTTGCTTGTTTGCTTGTTTGCTTGTTTGCTTGTTTGCTTGTTTGCTCTTGTGCTTGTTTGTTTGTTTGTGTGCTTGTTTGTTTGACTGGTTTTTGTTTGTTTGTTTGCTTGCTTGCTTCCTTGCTTGCTTGCTTGCTTGCTTGCTTGCTTGCTTGTTTGTGTGTTTGTTTGTTTGTTTGTTTGTTTGTTTGGTTGGTTGGTTTGTTTGTGTGTTTGTTTGTTGGTTTTCTTTGTTTGTTTGTTTGTTTGTTTGTTTGTTTGTTTGTTTGTTTGTTTGTTTGTTTGTTTGTTTGTGTGTTTGCTTGCTTGCTTGCTTGCTTGTTTGTTTGTTTGTTTGTTTGTTTGTTTGGTTGGTTGGTTTGGTTTGTTTGTTTTGTTTGTTTGTTTGTTTGTTTGTTTGTTTGTTTGTTTGTTTGTTTGTTTGTTTTGCTTGCTTGTTTGTTTGTTTGTTTGTTTGTTTGTTTGTTTGTTTGTGTGTTTGGTGGTTTCCTTCTTGGAATTGGCGAGGGACTGTCATCGATTCAAGCAGGGATTCCCGACAATCATACATCATGTGGATTTTGAGTAAGGAGCAGATCCTCAAATTATCCTCAAGGGGGGGGGTCGCAGGGAATTCACTCCCCAAAGCAATTTCAAAATGTTCACTTGAGCCACAATCAAAACCCGTGCAAGTTTAAAGTTAGTAAAGGACACTCGGAAGCATAAGGAGGTGCAGCCGCCCTTTGCGATTCCTGAGACATATTTTTGGGCAGACCTCCTTAACACCAGGCTTTCATTGAGACTCACTTTGAGGGAGCCAGCCAGCCGCCCAGTTCTCGGTCTCGCTCAGGGCTCGATGTCTATGCTGCCAGAGCCGAAGCAGGACAGATCGCCTCATGGTCGTGGTGCGAAGGCTTTGATATCTACCATGGCCGTGGGTCAAACATAGGTATCCCAAATGAAAACCTGGTAAATGGAAACATGGACTAAAACCTGCGGTCCCCTGGTGCTTTAATTCTGACCCATACCCACACGTTGCCAGTACACCTACCACAAACTCAAGTTAATGGGGGCCGTTTCCTGGCAACATTCGGGAAATCCATCGACCGCATGCATTCTTGCTTGGCATGGAACCTGCGAACGGGACGTCCCCAAACGGAACCAGCTGTAAGATTCATGGCGTTTCACGTCTGGTCAAAATTCGAGCCAGGAGACCGAGCTGGCTCGAGAGCCCAGTCAGAGTGGCAAGGCCCTAGGGATCAGAGCTGCGGGCAAGGCAGAGTTGTGCTTTTGAGGCACTGGTTTTCATAATTCAGCCTTGGCTTGGCTAGCGGGGTGGCTTGGGCTTCGGGTGAGTTGGGCTGAGCCGAAACCGGTTAAACAAAAACTTGATCATGGAAAACACCAGCAAATTGGAGATATCAGCAAACTATGCAATATACTAACAATTTGGGAAACCGATGAGAAATACCAACAAGGGCATCAACTGTTAGCATTTAGTTTGAGTTGAGTTTCGATGCTCGAACATATCAGGCTGGTCCGTCGAACATAGCCACACATCCAAGTTTGCCATTCTTGCCGGATGTCCTGCCCTTCTCAACCCGGCCGTGTCAGCAAGCAGATGTTACAAGTGCAGTGCTGGTGAGACTTCCCATGAGCATGTCATTTCAGCGGCACATGGCAAGAACCAGATTCTGGACTGACCTCTCTTGAGTTCCAGGCCGTTTTTGTTCTCTTTCCGTATGTTGGCTCCAGCCGCGCGGCGAGTGCGAGCGCGGAGCCGCGGATCCGCCGATTCCCGTCCCGACCTCCGTCCCTCGTCGAGCGCCATGGCAACTGAGAGGGCTGCCCTTCTTGGAGAGGAGCGCCCGGATGCCAAAGAGCTCTATGGGCTCGAGGACACCCAGATCCGACGCTCGACGTCCGAGGGCTATGAACAGACCAAAAACGAATGGATCTGTCCCCCCCCAAAAAATGGTATGGTCTGACCCACTAGCCACATTGTCTGAGCCCAACAAATGGTTCCGATGAGTTTCAACGGGGAAGCATCTGCAAAGTGGTTGGTGGACATGAATCCACACCCACTTTGTCCCCCATTGAAATTCACTGCCATTTGGGTCTGGTCGCTTCTTTTCAGGGTACCCCTTGTGTGGTGGTTTCGATTGGAAACCAAAGAGGGGAATGTCCCCGCAAAAGTTAGCGAGACCCATGTGGTTGCGTCATTGACCTTTCACTTTTTGCGAACATATATATATATATATGTGTGTGTTAATAACCAGCAAACATCAACATTTTGCACAGGGAGCCACCAACCGCCAAGGACATGGCTTTGTGCGCAAGGTCTTCGGTATCCTGGCAGTTCAGCTGATTGTGACGACCGTCGTCGGGGGAATTGCAACCTGGCGGTTTCAGACTTGTTGGGTGATTGGCGGTTCCCAATCATATTTCTGACTTGACTTTTGATTTCCTGCATATCCCAGAGAAAGTCTGTCTGTTGGGTTTCTTAAACTTTTAGGGTTTAGTGGGCCGTTTCCATTCAACCGACTAGTTAAACTTTTAGCAAGGGATGTGAGGACAGCCCAGTCTTAGCAAGGGCTTTGCGGTGCAACCCCCACTAAAACAAGGGTTGACCCAATTTAGATGATGACGATTCTTAGGTACATAGGTGTCCTTTCTGGTTTGCTTAAAAAATAGAGGGCCTTGGTTTAGATGGGGTTTATTCCATTTACCAGGGCCATCTACTTTTCCATAAGGCTACCTATGGTTAGGTAGATAATGGTGGTTATATGAACCCCCATTGTTTTAATGGAGGTTTGAACCCCAGGGGTGAACAAACCAAGGTAATGAAGCTGGCCGATACCATCGCGAAGTCAAGTCCGGCCCTGATGATGACGCTGCTCCTTGGCTCCTTCATCTCAACCATCGCGGTGATGATTCTTGGTGACTCCCAGCCATCCCCTTAGCGTTTTAGCCTTTTAGTGTTTAGCGGTAGTTTCCATTTAACCCACTAAAAGTCAGTAACTTGTAGCAGGGGATCAGTTTGAGCAGCCCAGGATTGTGTTCGCATGTTGCCCAGACACAATGCGGAGCTCTCCCACCAATTACATCCTACTTTCTCTCTTCACCCTGGCAGAGAGCATCTTAGTGGCCCAGTTGCATGCATTCCACCCTTTCAGACTTCTGTTCGTGCAGTGTTCCCCTTTACCAGTCAGCAACCGAAGGCACCCTGTTTTCCTTTTTTTTGGAAGGGCTTCCCCATAAGCTCATACCGTTTGTTTTGTGCGCGCGGAAAAACAAAACACATTTGGCTGTGGGTCAAACACATGTACGAAAACGGCACCTTGGTAAATGGAGCCAAAGACTAAAACCTGCGTTTTGCCCTAGCTCTCTCATCTTGAGCCACACCCATTTCATGAACAAGCTCACTTACCCTTGGTTTTTCCCCTGCGGGGGGAAACCACTTTTTTCATGAGGTGGGCTTCATTAGTAGCATGTACACCCAAGAGTCGGTGCTCTTTGTGCTGGCCGCCACCTGCGTGGTGGTGCTGGGGCTGATGCTCTTCGCCTGCCAGACGACGTATGACATCACTGGCTGGCTGCCCTACGTCTTCGTCATGTCCATGGCGATGTGCGGCCGGAAGCCTCAGAAGATCTCAGAATACGCCCGGAAGTAACTTCCATATCCGTTCTTAACCCAGGGATCCGAATTTCTTTCCAGGAAACAATCAAGACTTTGGGGAAATGTTTTTTGGTTTTTTTTTAAATAATAAGTAAGGTTGAAAAGAATGGGGAATCAACCCCTAGCAATACGGTTTTCTGGCTGGCGCGCTAGGTAGGTAATGCCCCTTCCGGGTGTTGGGAAGGAATCTAGAAGGAAACCATAGGGATGAATTGTGGGGGTCATTTCCTCATTCTCTAATGTCGACCCCCGAAATAAACAACCCGTCCTGGTATCGGGGGGGTATTCCTCCAAGAGTGATGGACACCCCCCATTTTTCGACCAGGGGTTTAATGATTCGGGGTTCCCAGTATTTTAGATAAGGTTGACTAAGAAGGGGGCATACTTTTGTTTGCCCTTTTCGGGGTTGTCAAAGAGATCAATGGGACAACCATAATTTTGGGTTCCGGGTCAACTATCCTATGACACATATCCATATGGCATATCCATGTGGACACAAATCACAGCACATATTATTTGGGTGTGAATGTTTGGGGACCCTTTGGTGGGCATGGGGATTTATGGCCTGACGTTCGGACACCGGTCCTGGTTTGGAGCATGTTCCGTTCAAAGGGACCGGGTCCCGAACGTCAGGTTCCATGTGAAAAGGGTGGGAGGGTAGGAGGGTTCTTGTGAGGTGGTTCCAACTCTTAAAAGTCGATAAGATAAATGAGCAGCGCCCTAAACCTGCATTGGCCGTTCAAAAAAGGTGATTTCTACATTCTACCTGGCTTCATATGATGTATTGTAAAGCCTACCCGCCCACCGACTAACTGCACAGACCCTGCAGAAAGACTACTTTCCTCTTGGAAACGGTGTGTGTGCACGTCCATGTTAGTTGGTGGGAGGGTATACAAACTGTAGTATTTTAGTAGAAACAACAGTCAGTGGGATTGCTACCCACGTTGCCCTTCCTGACGTGTATCCCCGTAGCCCCAGGTAGTATCTGCCAAGTGCTTCCAGGGCAAGATGGAGCAGTGCAGGGTTTGATTGCTACATCCATTGGGTTTTCCATTGAACCCATAAGTGAAACACTTCTTGCAGAGGGGTCTCGCCAGCAACCAAGAGTTTTGAGGGCACCAGTTTTGGGGTTGGTTTGAGGGAAACACCGAAAGGGCTTGAGGCTCCATATCGTTTGCTAGACCACCCCATTATGCAGCGAAGTATGACGAAACTGGTACCGTTGGGAAGCCAAATAATGAGAAGCTCGGCCCCGGGCAGCGGAGATTTACTTCAAAGCTGTCTCTTCTTGTTTGGGGTGGTTGCACCCAAGAGTTGCATGAACTAGGTCCCCCAGTAGTGCCCCTTTACCAACTTTTTGGGGAGGGTTCCCCTACCACGATAGACTACAGAAAAAAGTTGGTCCCCTTATTCTAACCTCTCAAATCTGGATGACCTAGAAGGGAAGCCAAAGGAAAGCCAACCATTAAAGGTTCCTCGCCTTAAGACACACCCACTTCGCACAGGTTTCTGCATGGTACTCTGGGTGGCCTCCATGTTCGGCTTGGCGTCCTCGCCGGCCTTTGAAGCCATGCACCTCATCTACTCCCTGATGGCGGTCTCTCAGTCCAAACGGTTCCAGCCTTCAGCGAAGAAAAAAAGACAGATACCCATCTTTGTTGTTGGGAAACGGTTTTTACATGTTTCGCTTGTTGTGGTTTGGTGGTTGAAATCCCCACTTAACTGCTAAAATTTAACTTTTTGCTCCCCTTCCAACGTCAACCAAGTACCAGCACCCGGGTCCCAATCACTGCTTCTTGGTTACCGTACTTGGGATGTTGGACATGGTTGCACAAGCAGGCAAGTTGGGACCCGGCAGCTGGTTGGTTTTATGTCTTTTGCGCATGGCATTCTGGTCCCATGGTTATCCTTTTTGTTTCTAGTCCAAGCACTTTGTCCCTTTGGCCGAAGTTCGTCTTTCGGCCCCAAAGGTCGAGTTTTTTGTTTGTTCTTCAGGTCTTGCTGTTCTCCTTCTTCATTGTGCTGGACACGCAGCTCATCGTGGGGGGCAAGCATTCCAAGTTCCGGTTCGGAGTGGACGACTACTGCGTTGCCGCCATCAGCCTCTATATGGACATCGTTCGGCTCTTCTTGCACTTGCTGCAACTCAGTCGCCCAAAGCGAATCGACCGGATCTGACCTTTTGGTTTTCCTTTTTTGGCTCAGTTTTAGGTAAGGTCCCCAACAGGTTCACCTTTTTTTGCCAGGTGCCTCGGGCAAGTTTGGGGTAAGGTCCCAAAAAGGTTAGTCTTTTATTTCCAGATCTTTCTTGGGCAGGCAATTGTTCGGCGATCGCCGCTGAGTCCATCAAAGGGTCCAGGAGCCGAAAAGGGCCGATGGCGCCAGATGTGAGCGCTGCAAAAGGGCCGATGGCCCCTCACCGAAGAGACTGGATGGCAGGTTAGCAGGGGGAGTATCCGAGTCGTAGGAGAAAATTCTGTCAATGGAAAGATGTTGTTGAAGCGTGGTTGGTGCGCTCCCTCCGAACAGGTTAGACCTTTCAGCCTGTGGACCGCTGCCTCATTCCTGCAGCTGATAGAGTAAACGGTTCATTCCTGCAGCGTGATCACTGTCAGACGGGGAAAGAGCCTTTGAGCCTGAGCACCACTCCGAAAGAAAAACATATCTTTATGAGAAGTCTTTTGCGGAGGGACCTTTAAGTCAAATGAATTCGCACAGAGCCTTCTTGCTGATGGAAGCACGCGAGAATGCCGAGGAGAACCCACAACAACAAAGCACACCCAGGCAAACGGTTATGAACGTCACACTTGAACATTTCCCTACGGGCGGGCCTTTGTCGTTTCTGTTGTTCTTCTGTTTTATCCAGTGCTAGCACTTCTCTCGCGCACTTGAGCTTCTTGCATCTTGTCTGGAAATTCACGATGGAGGGTTTACGTGACACGTACCAGCAATATGCCAGGCAGGGCTTCCTAGTTTCATGTGAGCAACTGACGCATACTGTCTGAGGAACACCCAAGTTTCGCGCAAATGACCAAGGGACCGAAGCCTTTAGTTCCCTTTGGGGAAACAAGCTTGTCAAAATCTGGAGCCCTTTTTGGCATCCTTCAGGCGGCCATCATTTTGACAGCCAAGTCACGCCCCATTTTTTGGGGCCCGAAATTCCCAAAGGGGCCCGGAAAAGGCATATGCATATCAATATATAATTATATATATATACACACACACACGTCATTTTTGCTTGCCAGGCGCGGTCGGTCGCCCAGCCCAAGTTCTCGAAGGCGGGGGGCGAACAGTTGGAGGTGGCTGTTCGGCGGTCTTTGCACCAAGAGTCGAGTTGCAGTGGGCGTTTGAAGTTTTCCTTGGTGGCTCCCAAACATCCGGTTCCTTTGCTTTTTAGCCTTGTAGTGTTTAGTGGTAGTTTCCATTTAGCCCGCTAAAACTTAAGCTTTTCGCGGGGGATCAGAAAACGGGCAGCCCAGAAATATCATGCCACCCGAAGGGTCATGATGGGTCCCGGCCCCCCGCAGCCTCCAATGCAGAACCCCGGCTGGTAAGGGCCCTCAAAAACAACCTCTCCGGAGGACCCGGGACCCTTAGGGCCTTAGGGCAAGCCAACGGTGAATGGTCTTCATTTGGAACCATGCATTATTTTCTTCATCAGCTCGTTTCAGACATTCTCGCTGACTTTTGTTCTTCTTCTTTGTTTTTCCGGTTTTTAAGTTCGGCCTGGCTTTTGGTTTCGGGTTTCGCCCAAATAGAACCCCCACCCTGTAATCATCTAAAAACACACTACCAACCCTTACTGGGCCAAGCAGGTGATTGTTTGACGCGCCAAACAGGATAAACCTATTTTCTCTCCAAATGAGGCCCCCGCCGCCAAATGGGTTGTGATTTACACTCCCTGGGACTAACATGGAAGCCAGTAGGCCTCTGTAAATGGAACCCAGTCTTCCAAAGGGGTCCTGGGAGCTTCCATGTTAGTCTGGGTGAGGGTAGGGATGACTTGCCGAATCATTCCTTAGGGTTCATGACTTGGTTTTCCATTTACAGAATCCAATGGGATTCGTGGGGAGCTTCCATGGAATCGTGGGGAGGGCGCCTCGCGGTTTGGTTCTCCCCCGTCCCCCGAAGCCGATTAATTTGTGCTCGGCAGGCGGCGCCCCGGTCGTCCAAGTCCGTGCCGCCCAAGCGAGAGCTTCGGGAGGCCAGGTCGCTTCCATTTGCTTAAGTTGTTTTTTTTGTTGTTTCTTTTTTATATATTAATATATATATGTATATATATATATATTACCTTGTTTGTGTTAAAAGGAATTTATCACTACTCTATATTCAAAAAACACAGGGATCTTAACCAAATGGAAGGTTACTCAGTGGATTTTGTTCCGTGGGACGTCCGGCTGGAGGGAAAGAGCTCGCCTTTGTTCTTTTTTTGCTGAGACCCAAGACCATGGTTGGTGTTGGGAAACATTTCACATGTTTGCTTATTGTGGTTTAGTGGTTGAAATCCAACCACTTAGCTGCCAGAACCTATCCTTTTTTTTTTGGCTCCCCTAAACCAACGTCGACCAAGCGACTCTCTTGAAAGGAAAGCTGTCCTTCCTTGGGACCCGACCCGTCAGGTTTTGTGTTGGGTAGGGCCGTGGGTTAGGGACCCGCTGAGCTGCGACGCAGCGGGTCGAATTGTGGCATGTCAGTGGCTGGTTTCAACTACAGCCTGGGAGATTCCAATGTTAAGTCAAGCCATGCCCGAGAATTGGCTGAAAGAACTTGGAGCTTTTGTGCAATTGTTTTCATCCACCTGGAATTTTGAAGGTCCTTGAGTTTTCATCCACCGATTGGTTCTAGTTCTTTGAATTTTCCACTTCAGCCGTGGTTTGGCCATTCTTCTCATGGCTGCGGCTTGGCCTTTCGCCAAGCGGTGGAACTCGGGGAGGTGTTTTTGGAGCGGAGCTTTCCTTTTCACTCACGGCATAGCTGGTCCTGCTGACCATTTACCCTCGCTCCCACAAACGTGGCCTTGAAACTGTGTTTGGTCTTCCAGGTACCTCCCCACAGGTGCCATGTTAGTCGGAGGGGGGGTAAGACCGAGTCTTGCCATGGAACCCCCATGGCAACGTCGGTCGCCACGCGCAGGCGCACGGCAGCATCTCGAAGCAGGCGAGCGCTTCGGTGGACCCAAGGGTCCCGAGTGCGCAGCATCTCTCGCTGCCTTTAGGTGCAATGCCTGTGGTTTTGCTTCGATCTCAAATCTTCTTGTTGAACATGTGTTTGTTTTCCCTGCGCGGATGTTTGTTTCCAGTCGGCTGGGGTCAGCGACTTGTTTTGAACGCGGCAGGTGGTGATCCCTTACAGCCAGCAGGTGGCGACTTGCCGGTAACCGGGTCCATAGCAACTGCTTTTTGGTTGCCGTACGGATGCCCCCAAATTTTGCGAGTAGGGAACAAAGGAAACCCTGTAAACCTGTAAACATTCCCATGGCTTGCGGTTGACTTACTTGCACTATTTGGGGGCATTCGCTGTGCCAAGAGGAGTTTGCACATGGGATTGGGACGTCCGGGGTGCTGGCAGGTTCCCCACGGTTCAATGCTTGAGCCCCCACTTTTCAGCTGACAGAGAGGCTGTCCAGCCTGGCAAGCGGTTTGCAACCACGGAGGTCACGATGCGGATTCAGGTTGTTTTCCTTTGTTCTTGTCTATCTTTTTCTGGTGGTCGCCCCAAAAAAGGATCTGCCTCATCCCCAGCCCAAAAAATCAATTGGGGGAGGGGATTTCGAATGTGGCTTTTCTTCCCCAGCTTCTTCCCTCTCAAGGTAGGGATGCCGCCAATCAATTGCGTCGGTTTGAACCCCACGATTCGGCGCTCAGGGCGCGCCGTACATGCCACAGATGCAGGCGCTCTCGGGCAAGCGATCCGAAAGCACCCCAAAGGGATTTGATGGCATTCATTGACCAACAAGGAGACACACAAGGGGAGACAAGGAGACACAATGAACACTTGATGGGGGATTTGATTTTCATTTGATGACCCAAATGAACATACAAGTAAGCAGACACAAGGAACTCCTTTAAGCCTTTTTTTTTTGGGGGGGGGGATCCGCTATTTTGCGACAACCACGTTGCCATGGAATCCACCAGAGACCTGGTCCCTTTAGGGGAAAATCTGACCAAAACCACCCAAAGCGTGAGGCTCCATGTACAGAGGGTCGTTCACCAAATCGAAACTGTGGGGTCCCTTTCGGATGAATGGCAACCTGATGCGTTACACAAATCATGTGCTTTGTTGGGCTCTGTTGGAGCCTCCACAGTGCTTCTCACAGACCCCACGGTCAGAAGATCGCCTGAGTCGCGCGCACAGATTGATGAGGCATTGCACCGTTCTCCGACGATTTGCTCCTTCCAACTTCACCCGCAATTGGTCTTACCAATGTGTTTTTTGTTGTCAAAACTCTGAAAAGCCGCCCCTGGACTACCACAAATTATGGCGTATGGTTAAAAACCAATCCAGTCGCCTCTGGTTCTCTAGCAGGGACATAGAAACAGTCAAACACAAATCTAGTCGCCTCTGGTCCTCTAGGAGGCGCGTGGACAACTGTTCAAGGAAGAAATCCGCAAAGAAACAGGGGACACGCATTTCCCGGAACGAAAGCAATTTTGACCGCGCCAGGCTGAGACGCCCAAGTTCGTTGAGGCGGGGACTCGGAGGTCGGCTGGGAATGGGTTGAAGCGCCCCGGCATCCAAAGAAAAACGGCAAGTCGACTCGCGCCCTGAGTTTCTGGACTTTTAAGCTTTCCGGAAAGACCATTTTAGGGCTAAATACAAGGTTTAGACTTTTGGGTGGCCAAGCCACTCGGGAAGTGAGATGATCACTTGGTACAAACAACGGCGGTTTATGAGAAACCTGGTTTGGTACCGGTTGGCCACACTGAGGTTGAAACCACTGCTTGGTCCCATGTCCGAAATCCCAAGTACTGTCCAAATGGAAGCGGTTGGGCGGTGCTGGTAGAGGATCCTTGTTTTTGTGCCGTTCTCTGGATTCTATGAAAAACCAACAGCACGTGGGACAGGGAGTTGGAGCAACTTTGACACACAGCAAAATCTGCTCTCGCTGATGGGGGGGCTGCTGATGATTGCCGCCACTCGAAGCAAGGTGTTCATGATTGTGGCAATGGTTTCGACCATAGGTGTCCTTTTTGGTTGATTTGGTTGGAAAAATAGGTCGGCGATTCCTGGTTACCTGGTGGTTCAATCAACTACCAGTGTGATCTATTTTCCCAAAAAGGTCACCTATGGTTGCGACTTCTTTCAATGCGACACCTGGAATTGCCCAAGCTGGGAGAACCTCTCCCTATGGCTCCAACCAGACAGACTTGTGGTGTCAACTTGGCTAGGTCCCCCAGTAGTGCCCTTGACCCTTTTTGGGGAGGGTTCCCCTACTAAAATAGACTGCAAGAAAAAGTTGGTACCCTTCTTCTAACCTCTCAAATCTGGAGGACCTAGTTGGTGTCCAGCCGGCACAGGACCCGCCTTTGCTGGCCGAAGCTGTGCGGAAGGCAGGGGCTTCGGTCACGGGCCCCGCCGTGGCCGAAAGTTCGTGGCCCGGAAAATTGCGAAGCCAGCAATCCAAAGGAGGTATGTGGCAACCAAAGGCGGGCGCTTGCAGACATCCAGCGAGTGCCACAGGGCAAATCCAGGAGTCCAAAAGTGGTGCTCTTTCTCAAGGTCATCTTCCGATTTCCCAGGGATTTTCCCCTCGTTCTTTGCCCAAATGGCGCTCAGTTTTGGCGGCCTGCAACTAGACACGTGCTCTTGAACAGGATCCAAAATCAGAGCAAGCAGTGCAAGCTGTTCTTCATCTTGCCTCCATAGATTCTCCATGAATCTTCTCACGCTCTGCAGGGTACAAAATTGACTCACGGCTTGCCGGGGTCGGACACGTCGCAGAGAAACTCCTGTGGGCATGGATTTTAATCGGGGTCTGGTGGACATCAAAATTCGGTGGGGTTTTATGTTCACCACCCACTTTCCAGGGGCGCTGGGTTCAAACCACCATTAAAGCAATGGGGGTTCATATAAGCACCATTATTTACCTAAGCATTGTCATCATCTAAATTGGGTCCACCTTTGTTTTAATGGGGGTTGAACCCCAGGGGGGAGAGTCTTATTTGAATTCATGGCCATGTCAGTTCTCGCGGATCTCCGGCGGGCCAGGGCTCCTTGTCCCTGCTCCCAGACCTGGCAGAAGCCTCAATTCGGATGGGCTCTGGCGGTCACAGGGCGGTTGCTTTTTAACGTGGGGAATGCGACTGCACTTGTTGGAGGACGACATCCGTTTCGCAGCACGGAATCTTTGGGGCATTTTGCTTGGCTGTTAGGACTTTAACTTTTTGCCAACTGATGGGTTTTCCACTAAACCACTAAAAGTTAGACTTTTAGCAGGGGAGCAGAAAGCAACCGAGAAATGAAACCATGGTTGAGACCATGGTTGGTTGGAGTTTTGCGGGGGGAATCATTGCAGGGCTTAGGTTGTGCAGGAAATCCTGCAAAATCCACAGTAGCAGCTGATGCATCTTGCGTAGGGAGCCCCTGACATGTGGCCTGGAGCTGGTGTGGCTGCGAAGCTTCGCTCCCAGGATTTCGCCAAGGAGCCAGAGGAGGCGCTTCGCTGGATGCGTTGACCGCATTGCCCTGTTGACATTGTCAGCCGGGCAATTAGAGTCGGGTCGCCCCCAATGAAAAACCACAAAAGGGAGGTTTAGACAGACAAGAACAAAATGGCATTTTATTTCCCCAAGCAAAAGGACAGCGCTGACATCCACGTATTTCAGCATTTTGTCTCATGCAATGCTGGTTGGCCAGCCTGGACCAGTGAGCACCTATTCGGACAAAGACGAGAAGGTGAAAGGTGCCTGGAGTGGTCCCAGGGGTGTACTCCAATCTGAAAAAGGATCAAACGTGACTGGGCTAAATTATTCAAGCATATCGGCTAGAAGCTCGGCCTAATGGGAATTCAATTACACTGCGATTCTGTCTCAAACTGTAGCCGCCCTGAAACCGGGTTCCCCTTCGGTTTTCCTTTGGCCTTGCTCTTGGTTTCCCTTTGGTTCCCCATGGTTGTTGTTGGGAAACATTTTACATTTTTGCTTATTGTGGTTTTGTGGTTGAAATCCTTACTTATCTGCTAGAATTTAGCTTGTTGCTCCCCTTCCAACGTCAACCAAGTCCCCCTGGATTTCTTTTTGACGCTAAAGCTGGGAGTAACCTGAGACGAGTTCTAGGAGATCAGACCCAAGTGGTCCCAGCACGAGGCGGGACATGGGAGAGACTGCGAGTCTGAGTTGTACCAGGCCACACAAGCTCTGTGTAAATACGCTTGGCCTGAATGCAGCGCAACGTGCAGAGATCTTTGTGTAGAGAATGAGGATGATTGCCAACAAATTGAGGGAAGAAGGCCAGGCACAGATTTATGCCACTTGCCAGCATTCATAAGACTGAGACGTTGATATACCAGGTGTCTCGTTTGTTCTGATTTTATCCATCGGAAGCTCCAGAAGATCGTGTTTGAAGCCTCTCCAGCATCCCCTCGCATTCTCTGGGCGTCTCCATCGCAGAGACCTTGGCTGTGCTTGAGGAGTTTCCCGAGGTAAGCTCACCGCTTAGCCATCCGGTTTCTGTGGCTTTTAGTTAAACTTTAAGTTGGTGAAGGGTGGTTGGGTTTTTCCGACTTTCACCCAGTCTTCGCCTCTAGCCATCGATCTGAAAACGGACTGCAACCAGATGGACAGCAAACAACGCATATTTTTTCCCCAAAAAAATATCGGAACTTTCCTCACCAAAAGTCCAACAGAACTCCCTGGCCAGGCACACTACCAGCCGCAGTACCTCCAAGCGGTACGCCTTCAAGTTTGGGGCCTTTGGAGTTGGCTCGGGGTTCTCTGCGTGCGCTTTGGTCGTTTTCAGGTGCCCGCAAGTGGCTTGGATTGGTGGTGTGGGGAGTCGGGAGTTGAAGCCCTGGCTGTTGGAGAGGCGAACTGGGAAGCCACCAAACCGCCAAGTGGGGAGCTGATGAAAGAAAGCAGCCCAGAAAGAAGATCATGGTGTCCTTTTTTGGGCCGCGATTCCTGGTTTACCTGGTGGTTTAATCATCTACCAGGGAAACCCATCTATTTCCCCTAAAAGGACACCTATGATTGTGAGGTTGACCTTGTGTGACACATACCCGAAAGGAACTTGAAGCACAGCCGTGCCAGGATGAAATGCCGCGCATGGCGCAGGCTAGAGGGTGTTGGGACAGCTCGTGGCGCACTGGGGGGCTGGGGTCACTGTTTTGGTCCTGTTTCTGGGGGTTATCAACTAGGCGCCCCAGCAGTGCCCTTTCACCGTTTCTTTTTTGGGGGAGGGTTCCCCTACCAAAATAGACTACAGAAACAAAGTCGGTACCAACTTCTTCTAACCTCTCAAATGTGGAGGACCTAGTGAAAGTCAGAAACTGGTGGGTTGTTTCCCTGTACCCCACCACGGGGCTGACTTTGAGGGTACAACTCGTCTGAGGCCAGGGGGTGACTCGACGGCCCCCTTGGGTTTCTTGGGGCTGGTTCTGGAGACCTGACTGGCTCCAAGAGATGCGATTTGTTTTTCTCCCCAAGAGGGGTGATTCTGGCGCAGGTCCGGGGCAGGTTACCGGAGGTTCCGGGGTGGCAAAGCTGGAGGGTAGGCGGATCAGGCAGACCTGGACAGTTGGACATGGCTTTCGGATGGCTTTGAAAGACATAGTACGAGTATTGGCCAGACAAAGGCTATTGGGGACTCATGCTTTTGGGGAGCCGTGAGTGGCATTTTTCCGCAGCTGAAAGCTGCCCAGAGGCTCCGGGGTGGCCCGGGGCCCTGAGGTAAGGTTCCACGAGGGTTCCACGAGGGTCCCACGAGGTTCTGCGAGGGCAGGGTGCGAGCACGAAAAAGAGCATCGCATACTGTTGGGGATATATCACCTGAGTGTATTTTTTACACATGGACATACATGGACCCTTTGGTGGGTTCCATGTTATAGTGGACAGGAGGGTACGCCTGAGTCGGTTTGGATTGGTGGTTTCAATTTGGATGTGAAGCCCTTCTTATCGGATTTGCCCTGGTTCTTGTAGGTTTTGTTGGGAAACCAGCCACCTCCAAACCACCGGCTCCCCCAAAAACGACGTTGGAGGCTATTCAGTGGTGCCCCAAGAACAAAATCAGACCGGACGCCTGCTCGCAGGATCATCACTGGGAGGACCGAGTTGGGAGAGCGGTGCCGCCGGTGCCCGTGGCCCAAAAAAGGGGGGGGCGTTTCTCTTTATTGGTATTGGGTTGGATCTTGAGATTTCAGCTTTTTGGTAATTGAACCAACAAAAAGTTAAACTTTTGCAGAGGGGTCAACAGCAACCAAGCTCTGGGCTTCTTGAAATCAAACAGGCAACACTGGTGCCCCTTTTTGACCACCATGGAAAGTCTGGGAGAGTTAAGAAGGGCGGACGACCTTATTTCGGAAGGTCTATTCTCCACAACACGTGGTTCAGCTGCAACTTGTTCTTCTCAGCAATGCGAACAAATAGTTTTAACAAAAGGAAACCCACAAAAGGGGGTCCCCCTGAAAAGTGAACCCCCCTGACCCCCCGAGCCCCCCCCCTCTCTGCGCCCTTGGCTCGAGGTGCAGAAACTGGGAGAGGGACTCAGCAATAGCTAAGGGCTCCATCTCCATTCACACTCAAGTTGCCAGGGTTCTGAATTTGCTTTCGCAAACCCCGAAAGGTATAACGCCTTAGGGAAGCCAACCAGATTTGTTTAAATAATGAGGTGTTTACTGAACGTAGGGCTTCATGCCTTCCCTTAGGCCAGGGCTCATCAGTTAAGTTTTGTTTGGTTTTTGTCCCAAGGCCGTTTTCGTCCGGTCGCTTTCGGGAAAGCATAACTGTTTCAACAAAGGAGGTACTGAACTTGGCGGCTCCCAGAAATCCCCTTCAGCTGTTTTTTCCGGGTGTAGTGCTAGTTTCCGCGAAACCTTTTCGCAGGTCGACTTTCAGGGGATCGAAGGGGAACAGCCCAGTGAACATCCAAGACCGTCGCAGGAGCTCAAGAAGGAGGCTCGGCCACCCGATACCCCCTGAGGGTGGGGGCGGCATGGGCGGGCAGGACCCGTTATTTGTCAGATTGGTTGAACGTAAATGGGCTCCGCTGGCTTCAGTTGGATTAGAGTTACCAGCGCCATCTATTTTCAGGATGAAGGGAAGGAGTCTACACGTCCGGAAGACTCACCTAGCGGTTTTTGCGCGGCTTCCTTAGGCAAGCGCAACAACATGTCCCGCCCGAGGGGGCCACCAAGGATTTGGCAAGTCTCGGCTGTCGAGCCCCAAGCATCGATTTGAAACGATCAACTGTCGGAAGCAAAGTTTTGGTTTTGCGGTTTGGACAAATGGATCGGGCCCCCGGCCAAAATAGGTGTTCCTTTCAGTTTCCTTGGGTCAGATGGCCCTTTTGTTACAGGGTCACCCCCCCAAAAAAAAGCACACACACACACACACGCAAAAAGAAACTGGTGAGAGAGCGCCACGCAACATTCATGTGGCAGCTCAACAGGGTACACCTCAAACAATGTGGAAGGAACGGGGAACCCAACATGATTGGTTTTCTTTTGGTTTCCCTTCAACCACTCTCGAAAAGGTGACTCTCAAGGGTCACACTCCTAATCAAACCCGGTTGTATTCTTGGGTCCCTTAAAAGGCTCCGGTACCCCCCTAAGTTGCGAGTTTGTGGAACCCCACCTGTACGAAGGCAATTGGGGAAATCCAATGACCCCTGATTTCAGGTTGGCCTCCTTTGTTCTTTTCTATCTTCTTCTGGGTTCCCCAGTCAGAATGGTCAACGCAAAAAGGGTGAGCCTCATCCCCCCTATTGGGGGAGGGGACTTCGAATGCGGGAGCCATCTTCCTCCCCTTAAGGTAGGGATGCTGCCTTTCACTCCGGTCACTGCTTGGTGGTTGGTTTGAACCACATGCCCCTGTGTCCTCGTGGTTTCCCTTCAACCCATCTCAAAAACGGTACCAAGGGCTTGCCACCCCTTCAAGAACACTAAAAGAACAAAATTGCCTACTATACTAGGTCCCCTAGTAGTGCCCTTTCACCCTTTTGTGGTTGGGAGGGTTCCCTTACTAAAATAGACTACAGAAAAAAAAGTTGGTAGCCATATTCTATCCTCTCTACTGGAGGACCTAGCTACTACATGGGTTCGCCTGAGATCCACCGGGCTTCCCTTCAAACCCATCTCAAAACAGGGCACCAACCCCTCAAAAACACCCAAAGAGCCAAATCGCCTACTACTATTTTGGGAAATTTCCTGGGATCCATTGGGTTTCCCAATTGACCCCATCTCAAAACCAGGGCTACGCCTCGCAAAAAAATAAATAAATAAAAAGCTCGAGGCGAGCCGCGCCGAGGGCAACGTCACGCCCACCTCCGGCACCCAGACGCCCAAGACCAAGGCGCTGGCCGGGGGTGAGGGTGGGATGCCGTGCCGGCTGCATGGTTGTTGTTGGGAAACATTTTACATTTTTGCTTATTGTGGTTTAGTGCGTTCTGGCATCATATTTGGTGGTCCTTCTGATTCCCGCGGCAGAGTATGTAGAAGCGCGCGAAGAAAAAAAAAAAAAACACGAATTTTGCGGTCCGAATTTTGTTGTTCTTCGTGCGTTTCGGACCTCGAAAAGCGTTCTGGTATCATATTTGGCGCTCCTTTTGATTCCCGCGGCAGAGTTTGTAGAAACGCGTGAAGAAGCAGAAACACGTTGCGAAATTCGTTTTTTTTTTTTTTTTTTTTTTTTTTTTTTTTTTTTTTTTTTTTTTTTTTTTTTTTTTTTTTTTTTTTTTTTTTTTTTTTTTTTTTCGCGCGTTTCGGACCTCGAAAAGCGCTCTGGCATCATATTCGGCGGTCCTTTTGCAGAGTTTGTAGAAATCCCCACTTAACTGCTAGAATTTAATTGTTTGCTCTCCTTTCAACGTCAACCAAGGTTGGGGGGCGGGGAGAGGTCCACATGACATGTTGCGAGATGTTGTTGGGCTCCGAATGCTTTGGGAGCTTGGGCGGGTGGTGTTTTTTTGGAACCCAGCAGCCGTGGGTTCCAACGTTCCAATTCAAAAACGCAGGGTTTTGGGGTTGTCCATATATATATATATATATAGGTATGGAAGTAGCTTGGCACAGGAGTTCCTAGCAGCCGCTCGAAACAACACACGTAAGTAGGACTTCTAAAAGAGCTGGATATCAAACTCACAGAGGCTAAGACCTAGAGCTCACTGCACTACCTATGGATGGAGAGGAAATGCACTTCGCACCAGTTGGGATGGACGACGCCCCATGAATAGGGACTATCAAGCACCAATCCCAACTGGTGCGGATCTTTGTTGTCCATCCACAATTTGACAGTCTTTGTCTTGGATGCGTTTTCGGTGCACTCGCACTCGAGAGCCGGACATTGCTTCACTTCAGCTTATTGCGTGAGAACAGAGCTTGATCATAAAATATTGTCGTTTTATTAAGAATAAAACAATGTTGACAGAAGAACAAGTACAAAGCGGGACCGTATGGCGAGCTTCCAAAGATCACCGGACGAAGAGCACTCTTGGACGAAAGCAGCTTTGCGATGACTACATGATATTATATATGTTCTGGATATTTTGCACACATAGTGACCAACTATCAATAATCTCACTTAGCCATTTTGTTGCATAGCCTGAAAACATGAAGGCCTTGTTTCATCCACGGCCACGGAAGGACACCGGCATAGCGGCATAGCACAGAACCAGTGTTGCCAAGTTCAATCAATCTCATCCAACTAGGATCATCATCAACTTTGCGATGATTGTCTTACTTTGAATCTGATTTGACATTTATCCATCAACTTTGTGATGATTGTCCTACTTTATATTTGAATGATCATGTATCCTTTCGGGCCTTTCGGTGGTGCCTGAATGGCAGACCCACCCAGGATGTGCACCTCCATGCCTACTCCCCTAAGACAATATGCATGGGCGCTTGGTTGAAACAGAACATCAGTCAATTGCAATGTGCGGGTCACGATCATACGATCATAAGCTTCGAGTTTCTAAACGATACCAGTGTCATAGTCCATTGCCACACTTAGCTTCCTTCGACTTTCGCCATTCGGCGTTTCTGCATGTGTTTGTTTTGTTTTACCAAACCGGGCCACCTTTTTGCAGGTCGAGGTTTGGCCCACAGGCCCGCCTGTGCCATGGGGTATGAAAACACATTGCTTGGTTCCACATCCGGTTCCTTAGGCTTCGAGTTGTTGGTTGGTGTGGCAGTTTGCACTTGACCCACGCAAAGTGACGTGTTTTTGGATCAGGTTAAACACCGCCCAGCTGGTTTGCAAGGGGGGGTTGTCAGCCTGATGGCCGTTTTCCCACCACTTGGCCCAGAATATCCGGGGGATGATGGGGTTTCCTGTTTCCTGGCTTGGTTTTTTAGGCCCACCCAACCCCTCGGCCCGAAATATCCAGAGGATGGCCGAAACGTCCGTCGCCAGGAGGGCGTGTCGGAGGCCAACTCGGACAGCGGCCCTGAGATGCTCGGCCTGGCAGCCGGGTCCTGTGGCATGCTGACCCCTCCCCCCCCCACCCCCACCACCCAAAGAAGAAGAATCCAAGAAACAATAGCTTGTGAAGAAGCATCCAAGAATCCAAGAAGAATCCAAGAAACAAGAATCCGTTTCCCGTTGCTCTGGTGAAAAAGGGCAAGACTTCATTGCTAGTGACAACGATTAGCTTCCTTCAGGTCACCTCCGCTTTTTGGGTTACTGTACCAAGGGGATTTTGGATATTGGACAAAGCAGTGTTGTTTGGCGTGCTGGCTGGGACACTTTTTGGGAAATCCTGGACATTTGCTTCTCTCTCTCTCTCTCTCTCTCTCCTTGACTCCGTACTTGGAATTCTTGACATTGGAAAAGCAGTGGTTGAGGCGTGCTGGCTTTCTCTCTCTCTCTCTCTGTCTTTCTCTCCTTATGTTTTGTTTTTTTTTTTCTCTCTCTCTCTCTCGTTCTTCCTCTATGTTTACTCTTCATTTCACCATCCCCTTTTGTTTCCTCATGTCTTGTCCCCGTGCACGCGGAATCCATGTGGAAGGTTCCACACCTTGCGGCTTCCGTTCCAACAAGCTGGGGTGCCCCACATCCCTCCTATGTTTCTTTGTTTCTTTTGGCTTCCTCATCCCAAAGGGCTATCACGTCCGTGTTTTTGGGAAGACATATTTGGGTGTCTTTTTTTTGAGGATACCCCTTTTGGGTTGTTTAAGAGGGAAACCAACAGTAAAGCCAACTTGTTTCTCTTTTTTTTTGGGGGGGGGGTCCGCTAGAAAAGGAAGACAAACCCATATGTCTCACCGGGAAAACGGCTTAAACTGCGTGCCTTGCGGCTTGGGAAACGCGTCGCCTGGGCTTAGGATGGAGCGGATCTTCTCGCTCTCGGCGTTGGACTCTTTGCTGCAGGACCCCGAGGCCAAGGCGGACTTGCGGCACCACATGGAGCAAGAGGAGCTGGAGGACCACAGGCGCACCCAGCCGCCCAGCCATCACCTAGGTCCCCCAGCGATTGGTGCCAACTTTTACCGTCTTCTTTTTTTTGGGGGGAGCGTTCCCCTACTAAAATAGATTACACCAGCAGAGACCCCAAACAGTTGAGGGCTGACGGGCGAGCACAAACATGCCAACAGCTTGTGGCTTTCTGCGCTTCAACACGGATGAATCAAAATGATGCAGTCGTGAACCTGGCGCGCGTTGCGTTGCTGCACGTGTGTTGCTGGCATGCTTCGCGCTTCAGCACCGCGCCAGAACTGAGGTTGGGCAAGCGCGCGCGATGGCGGGCGAGCGCGCGCGCGTGAACGCAAGTGTGGCCGCGCAAGCACGCAGTCACATGGGCAGTTCAAACACACATGTCCAATTCAGACACACATGTGTGTACACGTGGAACACACATACGTATACGACTGAAACAGTATACATTCACCTGCGGCACACGCATAAATGTGTTGAGCTGGAAAACAAACATGTGCTTCTTGGAAAGCACACACACACATGTGCAAACGTGGAACGCACATATGTGTTCACTTACGACACGCTAATGCGTTCACGTGGAACACACATGTGTGTTCACTTGGAACACAATGAAACGCGTGTCCAATTCAGACACACATGTGTGTACACGTGGAACACACATGCGTTCACCTGGAACACAAAGACGCGCAATTAAAGCACACATGTGTGTACGCGTGGGACACACATATGTATACCACTGGAACACAAACATGTGTCCACCTGGAACACCGCGTGTGCGATTAAAGCACACATGTGTGTACATGTGGAACACACATATGCGCACACGTGAGCAAACATAAATGCTCACCTAAATCGCACACACATGCGCGCACCTCGAAAACAATCATGCGTTTTCTGGAGCGCATACATGTGCACACCTGGAGAGCAAATATGTCGTCAGATGCCAAAAAAAGTTCACCTAGCACATACTAATGTGTTCACGTGAAACACACATCTGTTCACCTGGAACACAAACACGTGTCCAATTGGAACACACATGTGCGTACACGTGGAACACACATATGTGCACACGTGAACACGCATATGTGCACACGTGAACACTCACATATATGTGCACCCGGAACACACACCCGTGTGCTCATCTGATAACAACCATGTGTTCTCCTGGAACACAAACACGTGTCCAATTGGAACACGCATGTGTGTACACGTGAACACACATATGTGTACACGTGGGAGACGCAAATGCGCACACGTGAACACACACACATGTGCACACGTGGAACACACACATGTGTACTGCACATGTGAACACACACATTTATGCGCGCGCGGAAAACACAGACACACACGAGTGTTCATCTGATAACAAACACGTGGTCTCCTGGAACACAACCGTGTGTCTAATTGGAACACAACCGTGTGTACACGTGAACACACATATGTGTACACGTGAACACACACATATTTATATATATATATATGCGCACCCGGAACACACACACACGTGCGTTCATCTGAAAACAAACATGTATTCACCTGAAACACAAACACGTGTCCAATTGGAACAAACATGTGTGGACACATGAACTCACAAATGTGTACATGTGGAACACACATATGTGTGCAAATGAACACACATACATGCGCACGCGGAGCAGACACACACACACACACACGCGTTCATCTGATAACAAACATGTGTCCTCCTGGAACACAAACACGTGTCCAGTTGGAACGCACATGTGTGCACGCGCGAACACACAATGTGTGCCGTGAACACACATACAAAAAAGTGCACGCGGAGCAGACACACACGCACGTGTTCATCTGATAACAAACATGTGTTCTCCTGGAACACAACCGTGTGTCTAATTGGAACACAGACGTGTGTACACGTGAACACACATATGTGTACACGTGAACACACACATATATACGCGCACCCGGAACACACACACACGAGTGTTCATCTGAAAACAAACATGTGTTCACCTGGAACACAAACACGTGTCCATTGGAACACACATGTGTGTACACGTGAACACACATATGTGTACACGTGGGAGACGCAAATGCGCACACGTGAACACACACATGTGCACACGTGCAACACACACATGTGTACTGCACATGTGAACACACACATTTATGCGCGCGCGGAAAACACAGACACACACGAGTGTTCATCTGATAACAAACACGTGTTCTCCTGGAACACAACCGTGTGTCTAATTGGAACACAGACGTGTGTACACGTGAACACACATATGTGTACACGTGAACACAGCACACGTGGAACACACACATGTGTACTGCACATGTGAACACACACATTTATGCGCGCGCGGAAAACACAGACACACACGAGTGTTCATCTGATAACAAACACGTGTTCTCCTGGAACACAACCGTGTGTCTAATTGGAACACAGACGTGTGTACACGTGAACACACATATGTGTACACGTGAACACACACACATATATATGCGCACCCGGAACACACACACACGTGCGTTCATCTGAAAACAAACATGTATTCACCTGAAACACAAACACGTGTCCAATTGGAACACACATGTGTGGACACGTGAACACACAAATGTGTGCACGTGGAACACACATATGTGTGCAAATGAACACACACACATGCGCATGCGGAGCAGACACACACACACACACGTGTTCATCTGATAACAAACATGTGTCCTCCTGGAACACAAACACGTGTCCAGTTGGAACGCACATGTGCGCACGCGTGAACACACAATGTGTGCACGTGAACACACATACAAAAAAAGTGCACGCGGAGCAGACACACACGCACGTGTTCATCTGATAACAAACATGTGTTCTCCTGGAACACATACACGTGTCTGATAAGAACACACATGTGTGTACACGTGAACACACATATGTGTACACGTGCAACACGCATATGTGCGCACGTGAACGCACATATGTGTACATGTGGAACACACATATGTGCACACGCGAACACACACACATATATATATATATATATATATATATATGCGCGCCCGGAACACGCACACACACACATGCGTACACCTGGAACACATATGTGTGTATGTCTGGAAAGCACATTTCTGTTCACCTGCAACACACATATGTGTTCACCTGGAACCCATATATGCGCTCACTTGGAACAGGCATTTGTGTTCACGTGCGACACTGGTGCAGACCTGGATCACACAAGCATGTTTAACCAGAACAAACTTCTGTGTTGACTTGTAACACACATATGTGTACACATGGAACACACGTGTGTGCACATGTGGAGAAACATGTGCAACACAAATGTGCAACACACATGCGTTCACCTGGACAACAAAAATGTGTTCACATGGAATTTACATTTCCTGCACGCCTGGGCGACACATAAATCAAGTTCCCGAAGCCGGCTGTGAGGCGCTATTCCATGGGGCTCTGCCTTGAACAACGCTTGTGTTTTATATGCGTGTTCCAAGTAGGAAAATAGTGTTCGTGTACGATCAGTCTAGCTTTTTTGCAACACATTGCTAGCGCGCGAGCCTGCTGCTGCTGCTGCTGCTACTACTGCTAGTACTATCAGTATCGGATGCGTCTCCAGCAGTTACAGGCTTCAGCTTAGCAAAAGCTTTCCGGCGCATTGCGCTTCTTTCTCGCTTAGCTGCACAGTGTCTTTCGTATCGATTGCTAAAGTGCTTTGATCGTATTGTGGCAACTCTTCGTATCGATTCAGTAAAGCATTTGCTTTCGCAGGGAAATACGCAACCCAATTCTTCCGTATGCTCGGTACAAGGCATCCCTGCCGTCTTGCCTCAGCCGTTGTTTCTCCCCTTTGTCCAGCAAATCGCACTCCATGATAATTGCATGCGAGGAGAGCGGAAGCAAATTTGGATTGAAGCGTAACTGGGAACCGGTCACAGCTGACCACTGCGCTAGCGCCTTGCTAGCGCGCGGCTAGCGCGGGTTCGCCGTATTTTTTGGAGTCACGGCGACCATCTGTGTGGATTTGACAAATTAAGGCCACGTAAGATGAAGGTAAACGTGCGGGCTGGCTTCAAGTACTAAGTAAGAACTGCAACATTACACCCTTGAAAGCCACGCAAAGCCCATCGCGGCAACCCACGCGCCAACTCTTGGAAACCAAGATCACCGAAGACCCTAGCGCAAACCAAGCGCCATCCTAGCGCCTCCAGTGGGGAGCGGGCAATCCATTGGTATTTGCAGGACTCCGCTTTGTGTGAATGAAAAACTGCACAAAGTGACTGCGACGGTGGCCTCTGTAGACTAAACCCCCTTACTAGGAATTTTGACCGGATCGCATATGTGTTTTATCAGAACAATCGCATGCTTTCACCTGGAACACAAACATGTGCTGACGTGGAACACACTCATGTGGTCACATGCAAAAAGTGCGTGTTCACTTGGAACGCGCCGATGTGGTCAGCTGGAACACACCAAGAACACACAATCATTTACTTGAAGCACTCGTACGTGCATCCGCAGCATGCTGCCTGTGGCTTGATCAAGCGCACGCGCGCGCTCAAACACACGTTTCTGAGCCTCAAACACACATGCGTGCCCGCGGAATACACCGCGAATGACCAGGGAGCCGTGCCAGGCATCCAGGCTGGGGGACAACAAGAAGGAGACAAAGGGAGACAAATGAACCCGTCCGCCCGGAGAGCCGTGCCAGACATCCAAGCTGGGAGACAAACGAATCCGTCCACCCAGAGAGCCGTGACAGGCATCCAGGCTGGGAGACAACCGGGGCCAAATAAAGGGAGACAAAGGGAGACAAATGAATCTGTCAGGCAAATGAAGGGAGAGGAACCCGTCCGCCGGGAGAGCCGGGACAACCCCAGGTGCCAAGAGCACCACTGGGTATCTCGGCGTAGGTTCGTTGAACATCATCAAAGAATCGATAGACGATTTAACTCCAGCGTGATTCACGTTTGTTTCACCGGGGGGTTAACAGAGCCTTCTCGTAGCTGAAGCCGTGCACCGCAGCGCACCGCTCTCGTCAGCTCGGGACTCCAAATGCGAGCAAGGACAGAGAGAGGCCGCAACTGATAACGAGGCACTGAACGAACAGACAGGGTGTAGCCAACGATAGACAAGGAAGACGACCCACCACGAGCCCAAGCAAAATCGAAGTCCAGATGAAGGGCAGACAGAGGACCCTGTCCCCAACATCCACAAGACAAGGAATGACCGAAGCCAGGGCCAAAGCCGAAGGCAAACCAGACCCCGCCAAAAGGACAGAACCGCGGGAAGTGAAGGAAACCGCGGAGCGTGAGTGCCACACATCCAGGCTGGGAGACAACGGGAGACAAATGAATCCGTCCACCCAGAGAGCCGTGCCAGGCATCCAGGCTGGGAGACAACGGGAGACAAATAAAGGGAGACAAAGGGAGACAAATCAATCCGTCCATGATGGGAGACAAATGAAGGGGAACCAAGGGAGACAAGTGAATCCGTCCGCCTGGAGAGCCGTGACAGACATCCAGGCTGGGAGACAAGGGGAGCCAAATGAAGGGAGACAAAGGGAGACAAGTGAAACTGTCCACCCAAAGAGCCGTGCCAGGCATCCAGGCTGGGAGACAACGGGAGACAAATGAAGGGAGACAAAGGGAGACAAGTGAATCTGTCCGCCTGGAGAGCCGTGCCAGACATCCAGGCTGGGAGACAACGGGAGACAAATGAAGGGAAACAAAGCCCAGAGAGCCGTGCCAGACAAATGAAGGGAGACAAAGGGAGACAAATGAACCCGTCCACCCAGAGAGCCGTGCCAGGCATCCAGGCTGGGAGGCAACGGGAGACAAATGAAGGGAGACAAAGGGTGACAAATGAACCCGTCCACCCAGAGAGCCGTGCCAGGCATCCAGGCTGGGAGACAACGGGAGACAAATGAAGGGAGACAAAGGGAGACAAATGAACCCCTCCACCCCAGAGAGCCGTGACAGGCGTCCAGGCTGGGAGACAACCGGGGCCAAATAAAGGGAGACAAAGGGAGACAAATGAATCCGTCAGGCAAATGGAGGGAGAGGGAGACAAATGAACCCGTCCGCCGGGAGAGCCGGGACAACCCCAGGTGCCAAGAGCACCACTGGGTATCTCAGCGTAAGGTTCGTTGAACATCCTCGAAGAATCGATAGAGGATTTAACTCCAGCGTGATTCACGTTTGTTTCACCGGGGGGTTAACAGAGCCTTCTCGTAGCTGAAGCCGCGCACCGCAGCGCACCGCTATCGTCAGCTCGGGACCGCAACTGATAACGAGGCACTGAACGAACAGACAGGGTGTAGCCAACGATAGACAAGGAAGACGACCCACCACGAGCCCAAGCGAAATCGAAGTCCAGATGAAGGGCAGACAGAGGAGGACCCTGTCCCCAACATCCACAAGACAAGGAATGACCGAAGCCAGGGCCAAAGCCGAAGGCAAACCAGACCCCGCCAAAAGGACAGAACCGCGGGAAGTGAAGGAAACCGCGGAGCGTGAGTGCCACACATCCAGGCTGGGAGACAACGGGAGACAAATGAATCCGTCCACCCAGAGAGCCGTGCCAGGCATCCAGGCTGGGAGACAACGGGAGACAAATAAAGGGAGACAAAGGGAAACAAATGAATCCGTCCACCCACAGAGATGGGAGACAAATGAAGGGGAACCAAGGGAGACAAGTGAATCCGTCCGCCTGGAGAGCCGTGACAGACATCCAGGCTGGGAGACAACAGGAGCCAAATGAAGGGAGACAAAGGGAGAAAAGTGAATCTGTCCACCAAAAAAACAGTGCCAGGCATCCAGGCTGGGAGACAACGGGAGACAAATGAAGGGAAACAAAGGGGTGCCAGACATCCTGGGAGACAAAGGTAGACAAATGAACCCGTCCACCCAGAGAGCCGCGCCAGGCATCCAGGCTGGGAGACAACGGGAGACAAATGAAGGGAGACAAAGGGGAGACAAATGAACCCGTCCACCCAGAGAGCCGTGCCAGGCATCCAGGCTGGGAGACAACGGGAGAAATCAAGGGAGACAAAGGGAGACAAATGAACCCGTCCACCCAGAGAGCCGTGCCAGGCATCCAGGCTGGGAGAGAACGGGAGACAAATGAAGGGGACAAAGGGAGACACATGAACCCGTCCACCCAGAGAGCCGTGCCAGATCCAGGCTGGGAGACAACGGGCGACAAATGAAGGGAGACAAAGGGAGACAAGTGAATCTGTCCACCCAGGCATCCAGGCTGGGAGACAACGGGAGACAAATGAAGGGAGACAAAGGGAGACAAATGAACCCGAGCCGCGCCAGGCATCCAGGCTGGGAGACAAATGAAGGGAGACAAAGGGAGACAAATGAACCCGTCCACCCAGAGAGCCGTGCCAGGCATCCAGGCTGGGAGACAACGGGAGACAAATGACAAAGGGAGACAAATGAACCCGTCCACCCAGACTGGATCATCCAGGCTGGGAGACAACGGGAGACAAATGAAGGGAGACAAAGGGAGACAAGTGAACCCAGGGAGACAAACGAACGCGTCCACCCAGAGAGCCGTGCCAGGCATCCAGGCGGGGAGACAACGGGAGACAAATGAAGGGAGACACAGGGAGACAAATGAACCCGTCCACCCAGAGAGCTGTGCCAGGCATCCAGGCTAGGGCTTGGCAACAGGCGAGCCACCTTAAATGAATTTAGAACCCCTCACAGTAAACTGTTTGGGGAACTACAGCAAAAAGGGGTACCCTTATTCTCACCTCTCTACTGGAGGACCCAGTCACCACCCGCTTAGAACATGGGGTCTTTTTCTTTGACACGTCCCATTTACCCGGCACCTAGAAATGTCTTCACTTCTTGAAACCGTCGAAAGCGGATTCTAAGGACCGCAGGGCAAGGGCCAAACGCTTTCGTGCCAGAGATCTCCATGTGTCCCCTAACTTGCTTTCCAGGCCCGGAGCACCGCAAACCGATGCTGAGGGACAACAAGAAACCATTTTCATCAGGTAGGTTCATGGCTATGCGAAAGCACATTGCCAGCAGCGATGCGCCTCCCAGCTGCTTCTGACACGCCTCCTCCGTTCCTCTGATAGACGGCAAGAGCAGAGCTCTGTGCAGGGAAATGGATGGAGCTGACAGTCACGCAGTTGAAGATGTGAGAAGCAGAGGCAACATCTATCGCAACAGACTCATGCCATGCATGCCTGTACCGCGAGCCTTGCGTCCACTTTGTGATGTGCTCTCAAAGCTTTTGTTGGCTGGGCTGCGGTGCCCAGCAGGTGCCAAACCAACCGCAAGCAATTATAAATTATGCGCCAAGTGACCTGGCTGGTCCGTATTTCAGCGGATTCTACCAGTTTGCTGTTTTTTTTTCCTTTCTTTTCTCGCTGGCCTCCCCACTCAACATGGTCAACCCCTCCAGGGTCCCAGTTTGCCAGGCTTGGTTGCTCTCGGTTTTTGTTTGCAGGCCGAAGTACCAGAGCGAGCACCTCTCTACTCCCGTGGTGGTGGTGTCCTCTGAAGTGCCTCGCATATCAAATCTTCCGAGCTCATCCGTCGGTCAGCTTTTTGATCCCTGCCGCTTGTGGTGGACTCTGAAGTGAAATTTGTCAATTTTTCAAGGGGTTGATTCCTTGTCCATTCTTTTCAACCATCGTTCTTTTCAACAACCAGCTGTTTTTGTGGGTGTTTGGCGGTTTTTTAGAAAGAAGGATGCCTGGAAAGAAAGGGGAAGGTACTAATAGAATTGTTTCGGCCTCCAGCCCTTCTGACGTAACAACGAGTCACGCTGTTCGGGTGAAGGCAGACCTCACCAGCTGAATCACCAGCCGAAACAAGGCCTTGATGAAGGGTCTTGTTTGGGTGTCTATCCCTTTTCAATTCGGGGCAGGTATATGATTACTCAGATGTCATTCAACTCATACTGAGATTGTTTAGAAGTTTAAGAGATTTGCAAGGTATCAGAACCGGGTTTTGTTGTCTTGTGTGTCCAACTGCATAGTGGAATGTTTGGCATCTTCATGAACAGTGTGCGTATTATGATCAACAAGTTCCCTGGGTCCAACAGGGTGCTTAAATCTCCAAAGAGAACCGTGAGCGAGTTCAGCCGTTGACTCGTCAGCAGTGTGCTTCACAAGGGGTTCGCCCATGTTTTTGCCCTCTGCATTAAACAGATGACTGTGAAGTTCAGTAGGGAATCCCCCCTTAGAAGTGGGTGGGGGACACCAAGAGGGCTTCGTTAAAATTGTATACCCACTATAGGCAATGCCCATAACATATTGCAAGAAGGGAACAATAGCTCCGCGATCGGTGTCGCCGCACATCTGTTTTTTTTTGCCGGCGCTTTGCACATGCAACTTCAAGGGTCCTTTGCTCTCATTGGGTACCCAAGTGCGCTGGCCATTCGAAGTCTGCGTTTGGTTTTGCTGCGAGCTTTTGCCACCGTGACGTTGTCGGTGTTAGAATCTGAGGTTTGAAGAGCTAAAGGAGCGCTGTTCTTCCGTCGTTGTCAAGACTGGGTTCGTCCTTCCTTATCAAAGACTAGGACGAAAGTAAACAGAGTAATTTTTCAGGATCGGATGCTACACGTGCCAAAATTCCCGGTTCCAAATAATCAAAACGGTTCCTTGCGGGTTTGTCGGGCTTTTGGCGATGTCCTGTTGCCAAACGTAAATATGAGGCACTTGTACCGGTTCGAGCCCCTTCGGCTGGTTTCTTTTCGGTGATCAATTGTTCAAGCAACGATTGATGAACAACTTTCTGAGCAGCTGGCTCAAACTACATGAGTTTGCATGTGCCAGCTTTTATCTCGGTTTCAGGTAACCCTGACTTGGTGTTTAAGCCATGCAGATGGGTCATAGTGTTGAACCACCTAGCCAGCAATAGCACCGCGCACTTCGCCTCTTCACGGTGGTAGCGCATGTTGTTTTGATTTTTCGAATTCTTCGGTGGATTATTTTTAGCTGTATATCAGCTATCCCTTGGTTAGTGGTTTGGACTGGCGGTTTTGGAGTTTGAACCACAGTAGGACACCATCACCCACCTCCAAACCCCCGGGCTCCAAACCTGCAATTCGAGAGAAGCTCTGCATAGCACGTGTCCAAGGGAACCACCAGCTAAAATCCAACCGGAAAATGGCATCTGGGTGTGTTTGTGTAAGGGGACCCCCCTACAATGGTTGGTCTATTGGTCTATTTGGGTTTTCCTGTAAAGCCACCCAAAATGCAGAAGCACCCAAATGCGATTGCAGTGAGTGTGGGGTTTGGGGGTTCGACGATCTCTTGGCTTGTGTGTTCTAGCTCTTGGACCTGTTCGAAGACCCTACCACATTGGTCATTGACCATTCTTTTGGTTTCAAGCCTTTTGATTTTCCAGTCTCTTTTTGGATAAAGGGTGTCTTTCATTTTGTAAGAAATTTGCACCCTTCAGTAATTTTCTCAAACATCCTTTCAGGTGAATTCCTAACGGGATTTCAGGAGTCAAAACCCTGGTTGATGAATGGAGGGTGTCCGATTTGAGGTGACACACCTCCAGACAAATCCGCTAAGTCAATGCAAGTCGTCCTTTCCAATCCTCTAGCCTATTTTTAATCCTTCGATGTGGAATACACAGACACGGGTTCACACACACCCACGCTTGGGTGCTGGGAATGCACCTGGCCGAGAATTTCTTTCCGACCAAAACCGACCAAAACCGCGGCTCGAGGTGAACCCCTGGTCCAAGACGGGGGGCCTGGCGATGGTGGCAGGCTCCTACGGCTACGAATTCGCCATGCGGGGGCACCGCACCATGGTGGTGTCCCCCAGGTATAGCGCCTACCCGGACCGGGCTGACCGAAAATGCACCGGGGATCGGGTCAAACATATGGCAACAATGGGATGATGGTCAGTCGAAAGTCCCGAACATTTGCCTGTTGGGAACCTAAAGTCATCCGTAAATTTTGCAACCTTCCAGTGCACCCTGATAGTCCTTGGATTCCTAATAGGGGTGAATGAGTTTGGGTTCCGAAGGTCATCCATCAGATTTTTGAGGTTCCTCTATGGCCTCGATTCTCCAAACATGCTAATTCTCATGAGGACTCCTGCCACGCTTCTTGCGGCAATTTACTTTTCGGCCTCCAAAAAAGCATGGCACTGAAATGTTGTTCGTTTGTTCTCTCCATGCTTACAGTTCACTTCGACGTGTCAAAGAACACTGTTCCTTTCGACGGTGCATCGACCGATGAACCGGGCCTGAATTGAAGCATCGCATGTCGCGCGGGGCGTGTCACCGTCCCAGCCATGGCCTTTGGGGCACCGTACCAAGGGGATGTTGAACCTGAGAACAGCAGCAGACAACGATCTGGCCCCCTATTTCTATGCAGTTGTGCTGCCTGCGCAAATGCAGCCATCCTATGGCACCTTCTGTGTTTAGACGTGTGGGGGACAGGACGCCCACTACATTGGCTATGCCAAGATCTGGCTGGACAACCGGGAGCATGAGGTGCAGTTCTTCCATTTGCGCGGGCCCCCAGTGGAAGGCCGCAGAGTGCAGCGCACAAACACCCCAACCTATCCTTTGGGCAAAAAGGTTGAGCGAACCACCAGGATTTGGCCCCTACAGTGAAAACACAACCGGGGGGTGTTAAAGCAACAGGCGTTTGAACATGTCAACCAACCCTGACAATCCTCTGTTTCATGGAAGCTGACAGGAATGTGTGGGACCACTTTCAATTTGCCGGGGTTGCCAAGTCCTGCCTACTTCCACTTGCTGTCTTCAAGTGATCCATTTGGGTATGGGTCAAAATTAAACCACCAGGAATCGGAACGCAGATTTTGGTCCTTGTTTCCATTTGCCAGGGTTCCATATTTTGGGCTTAATCGATTTTGGACCAATTCTACCCGCTGGCTTACTCTACGGTACGGGGTGCATGCTTTGCCGTGGATGTGGTGGATATCAGTTTCAACGTCAAAGTCTGCATCGCTTCAACCTTGCGCACAGGAACTTCGGCCTCGCCACGTGTTTTGGGTCTCCTACAATTTTCACCTCGGCTTCTAGAATGGTTTCCACTAGAGAGGTTGAACGGCATGTGCAACTACCATTTTAGTAAGCACTCCACATGGGGGGTTCACAAAATGGTGGACCCCTGTTTGGTTGGTTTTAAAGGGAAACCACAAGGACACCAGCCTTTTTTGGGGCCCCTTTTTGAGAGGTATACACACATACATATGGTATGTACATATAATATGATATAGAGGGCATATATGCCCCGGTCTGGTAGTGGACCTCTTCGATGTGCTGCCGAGCTTTTTTTCTGACGTTTTCGAGGTATCAGGATCTCGGGGACGGCAAGGGCACGGACTACATCTTCGTGGGCCACGATTGCTTCATGCGCGGAGGTTTGTATGTGGACAACCAGGGCAAGGAGTACGAGGACGATCGGCCCTATGGGCCATGCGATGCCATGGGCCATGTGGGGCCATGCGGGGCCAAAATATGGCGTAGGGGCGTAGGGTGGGTCCCAGCCAACCGGTTCCTCAGATTTTTAGGTTAGGGTTTACAAGGGCCAACATATGCTTTTATTTGCTGAAATGTTCTTTTTTTTTATTGTTATTAGTGTTATTATTATTTTCCCCTGTTGGTTTTAAAGGGAATTGATTTCACTACTTGTTTTCTTATTTTCTTTCTTTTTTTTTTCTCGAGGGTCTTAACCAAATGGGAGTAGGTCGTAGGGTGGTTCCCAGCCAACCTGTTCCTTAGATTTTCATGTTAGGGGTTACAATTAACCCACTAACAATTAAACTAATGTTTAGTTTTCTCTAGTTGGTTAAGTGGAGTTTCCGTTTAACCCACTAAAAGTTAAGCTTTTAGCAGGGGATCTGAGGACGGCCCAGCATATGGTGCTGACCCCGGATCTCCTATTGGTCAATAAGTGTTTCCCTCCAAAAGTGGTCTGAATCCCCCTATCATTTAATGAGGGGTGTATTGAACCGGGGCTCCCATTACTTAGAGTTCAATAATTCGTGCCGGGCCGAACCTCGATTCCGCTGGCCTCGGACGTAGCTGTAGCCAAAAGAGCCAGCGGATGTGAGGCCTTCAGGGTGCCTTTTACTGGACACGTTGAGGCCGCATGAAGAAGTCACCTGTACTAGGCCCCCCAGTAGTGCCCTTTTACCCTTTTTTGGGGGAGGGCCCCCCTACTAAAATAGACTACAGAAAAAAGGGTGCCCCTATTCTCTCTACTGGAGGGCCTAGTTTACTAGCTGATTGGAGGATCCCCCACGAAAAGCAGGTGTCTCCGTTAAAGGGCCCTGATTGACCCTTCGCACCTTTGACCGGATTGTGCGGTGTTGCGTGCTGTTTCCGACGGTTTTGGCTTCCTGCCGCAGAGATTCCAAAGGGACTTTCAGCCGGGCGGTGGGGAGGGGGGAGGGGGCAGACTTCGGACGGCGCGAGGACAATCTCTTCCGCTTCTCCTTGCTGACTGTCGCGTCGCTGGAGGCGCCCCTGGTCTTGAACATCAGAGGAAAGACCTTTGGGCAGGACGGGGGGGGGGGAGGTTCGCGCATTCAGCCAGCTTCTTCCCTTTTTATTCTTGTTTTCAGCTGGCCCGTTGGTTTGATTGCTTTTAAAAGGCTCCGAAATCCAAAAGCAGATTCTCCCCGAGTCCCAAGTCGAATCTTGACTCGATTTAGCTTTGGGTTGTGCTGGATGACTACTGGGGGGGTGGGTGACTTCACATTTGAGGCTGGTGAAGCCAGTACTATTTGGCCAGGACGTGCTCTTCATTGCCAATGACTGGCAGACGGGCTTGCTTCCGGTGTACCACTTGTACAAGTACCGGCGGAACAATACCTACCGAAACTCCCGCTGCGCATTTGTCATCCACAACATCGGCTATCAGGCCGTCCAATGCGTAGCAACCATGCGGATAGGCCGTTGGGGCCACGAAGCAACCGGGTTGACCCATGACAATCAGTTGCCCGCTTTGGATATCCCTTTCTTGTAGCGTGAACAACCAAGGCCGCATTGCCAGTGCCGCATGCTTTAATGGTGCTTCTCTTGACCAGGAACCGGCAACCCGAATCTCACTGAGAAGTCGTCACACAGCAAGACTCATTGACATGCCACCTGAAGTGGGCTTACCCGAAGCGCTCTTATCACACACACACATCATGTTGATTACTGAATGTGCAATTTTGTTGTGTACAGGTGGTTGTTTATGGATGTCATGAGCTTATTTGTGCATATGCGTACATGAGCCAGGCAGACCTATGGTTGTTTTCTGGTTAGAAACAAATATCAGGCTGGGCAGGAATATGACACGTCTTTGCTCATAGCTTGAAGAATCATCCAAGTGAGCCTGATTGTTTCCCTACTGTTGTGCCCCAATTGTGCAGTGGGATGTGTTTGTCCCTTTTTGTTGGGAGGATGTCCCTCTGAACATTACCCATCCCAAGGAAGGTTTGCCACTTTCTACCAGGGTTGTTGGACGGTTGGGGAAGCAGTGAGGCCTGAAAATCTATTTCATCCGTTAATCGCAAGCGATACAGTGACCGTCAAACTCAGGGCGCTTCTTGAACAGTTGGTCTGGTCATGCGTTCAAGCAGACTTTGTGCCACAAACACCAGCTGATGTGCAGTCCTCCTGGTTTAGTGACTCTACACAGAGGTTGGGTCACCACAAACTTGGTTGCACTCCTTCTGGTTGCATGACACACTGTCCGCCTACCCCCTTGCATGTTCAGTAAGGCTACTGTTCTGTCCCCCCTTTGCTCGTGAACCACGCATACACACACACACCACCATCAAATGCCTTTGCTGAGTTTGAATTCAGTTGAATGTCGCTCATGAACACGGCGATGCAACTATGCATATGCATGTCAAGGAATTGTGTTGCCAAGCAGCACCCACGCCTCTGGCATTTGGGTGTGGAATCGGACCGCAGATTTGAGTCCTTGGTTCCATTTACCAGGCTTCTATTTTGGGGTTACCCCATTTTTGACCCGACAGCCATATATGACGCAGAATCTGTTGAACAGATCAAACACATCGTCCATATGTTACATCACATGGTCCATATGTCCATATGTTGTTTTCGTTTCCTTTGCGCCCCTCGACTCATGACATCCGTCGGCTCAAGGGCAAGTACCGCATCAGCAAGTTCCCCCTGGACACCTACCTCGGGCTGCCAGCGGAGGCGATCGATCCCGAAACGGCAGACTCGGTCGGTGGGCATAGGTGTCCTGCTTCAGTTCGCTTGGTTAAATGTAGCTGGCACTAGTTCAGGAATTTGTTTGTATTCCTGGTTCAGACGATTTTTTATTCCTTTTGACAGGGCCGTGTACTTGTTCAAAATTCCAGCTATGTCGCTTGGGCTTCCCCCAGATTCGTATTCTGATTCCAAGCCGCAGCACGAGGTATTGCGGCCTTGTATTCCCAAATTTAGAGACGATTGGGGGCCCGTTGAGGACCTCCAACTCAGCGGAACGTTTTTGGAAACGCCGTTCGGCCAGCGATCTTTGCCACTCATATATGGTGTTAGTTGATATTTGTGGGGGCCGGGCCAGAGAATCAGGGCTGGGAGGTAGTGTAACACGACCATTATTTTTGTATCGGATATGTAACATGGCTGGCCGTGCCACCCTGAACTGATACCCTCCCTCCCACTAACATAGCAACTGACACAAGACACCATCAGGAGGAAAACCATCTTCCAGGCACCCTCCCACAGATGCTACCTCTTAAATGCATGTCATTGAATCTTTCCCACCCACGGCTTTGCATTTCTTTGGGACACACAAAACTGGAATTTGGGTCTGTCTTGTCTTGAGGATACCATTTTTGCGGTTTAAAGGGAAAAAGCAAGGATTCCACACATTGAGGGTGTCCCCCAAAAACGAGACGCCCATCTTGCAAATATGCTGAACCTTGACCGTTTCACTGGCACAATCAGTTTTGCATGCCCGAAAGGTGATCTTGCGCCAAGCAAGTTTCAAGTTGCAACCTTTCCCTTTGGAGGAATTGTTCTTTATCTCACTTCCCGAGTTCCGTTTCGGACTTTCGTCGCTTTTCGGGTCTGGACATGTCTGGACCATTTTGGTGGTAGCCAGGCAGTTTGGACTTTGATTGGTCGATCCACTCAGGAGTGAGTTATTCATATGATCACGCACAACTGATGACGCTGCATGACCTGGAGTTTGTAGCATGGGCAAACAGGTTTCATCCACGGACGTTGCATTTCTGATCTTCAGTCAAGTTTCCCTTGGAGGCCCCGTACTTGATTCTTCTGGGGGATTGGGCGACGCCCCGTTCCGGGAGTTACGACGTCCATTCTGAAGGTTCCTTCCTGGGGGGGTCAGATTCTGATTTTCGGTGGGTGAACTGTAATTTGCCCACCGCTTTCCAAAGTTGGCACCCATGTTTCCATGTCCAGTTGGTCCATCTTTCCATTTGTCCTTGTCCATTTTTCCGTCTTTCCAAAGTTGGTATGGTGCCATTGTGGGTACCAGTTTTTCCATCTTTCCAAAGTTGGTGTGGTGCCATTGTACCAGTTGACAGCAACGGAAGGTGCTGGCAGATGCTTTGATTCGCATATACCCAAGGCCATCGGGCTTCTGCAGGGTGAGGACTGGGCGTGCGCGCACGTCGGAGGTCGCTGGTTTCTGCTCCCTTCGGTTCCATTGGGGTGTTGTTCCTGTGGCTTCACTTTGGCTGTGCGTTTTGTTCGGTTTGGTTCCTGTTCCGTGTTCGGTTCTTGTGTCTGCGGCTTTTGCAGTTTCAGCCAGGCCTTGGCATTTTGCTTTTGCTTCTTGCGAGCAACTTGGGCTTGCCTTCTGCCTGGTGCGCTGCGTCGAAGAATCTCCAACTATATCAATGGTAGCTCCTTTGTCTCATACATTACATGTCCAGCAAAGAATCTCAGAGCAGCGTGAATGCCCATGGTGTCACAATGTTGTGACATGTCTTTTGGAACGTGGCCACCGACAAGTTTGTTCAGGGAGCTTGTTCTAACCCGTCATAGCTCTTGTTTAAACCCGCAGCTTCTTTCACGACAGAAGTTGGCAATCCACCATTCTTGTCCAGACTTGGTATGGCTTTTCACACAGATCATCCACTCATGTTTATACATCTTTCTCTTTGGAGAAGCGGATGATATACTGTAGATGCTCGTTTGGTCTTGTCAGGACCTAAGCTTCCAAGGAACTATTTTGTGCACGGGCCTGCTTTGGTTCAACCTTGCCAACTTTCGATGCCACCGCCCTTGTTTGTCCGGCTACTCATGTTGGAGTTTGGAATTACTGTTGCATACTGCTACATTCATGCACACGCATACCTATATATACATATAGATACAGATATATACTGTATATATATATACACATAACATACCTATATACAAGCATCAATTCAACATGGAACCAATTCAGAAAATGGTTGGGGGGTGTTTTTTTTTGTGCACCGCTGTAGGATATGAAAAAACAAGTAGTACTCAAAAAGGACCAGAACTTCCTGGGCAAATCCTGGGCGAGTTTCCAGGATCTGAACCTGGGCGAGGACTGCATGAATCTGATGTCCGCGGCCATCCTGGCGTCCGACCGGGTGCTCACGGTGTCTCCCAACTACTCGGTGGAGATTCAGAGCCCCGAGGGCGGACAGGGCCTTCACAGCATCCTGCGCCTTGGAAAAAAAGAAGGACATATGAGAAAAAGGGTGTGTCTTCTTTCAGGTCGGACCCCCAAAATTGGCGGTTGTCCTTTTGGCTTCCCTTCTAAACCAGCAAAAAGCGTTACCCTCGAAAAAGACAGACTTTCAATTGCGCGAGACCGCGCGACCGCGAAACGGCAAAGCCCGTCAGCAACCCCGAAGCCAAATGGAGAAGGTACCCCTTACGTCCAACCACCAGATCGAAGCACCAATGAGGTTTAAGGCGACGTTGGTTTTTGGTCGCCCATAGATGAAAAAGGCGATTTTCGGAGGTGGAACAAAGTGTTTGGGCTTGGACTCGGTTGCCTTCTTTGAGTCACTTGAGCCTCCTCAAAACCCGGGTATGAAGGTTGGGGATAGTCCCAATCCATTGGGGTGCGCTTTTTTTTTTTGAAGCGCACGCAAGTGGATCGACTCACGATCCGTGCCGCACGATCCGTGGCGATCCGAATGACCTTTCGAGTTCTGAGACTCCCTTCGATCCCAGAAGCCACCTGCTTTTGTAACACGCTGCCGAGCTTGCAAAAGATGTGTGTGTGTGTGTTTTTTTTCTACAAAGGTGAGGGTAGACCACTTTGACCACTTCGCAAGGTTAAGGCCACTTTGTGTCGGGCTTAGCCCACTTTTGGGTAGACCAAGCCACTCAAATTTTGTCCCATCCAGGCAGGAAAAGGGCCGTCAGATGCGCATGGCGGGCATCCTGAACGGCATCGCGGACGAGTGGAACCCCAGCGTGGACCCCCACATCCCCATGCAGTACAGCTTGAGGAGCGCGTCCAGAGGGCTCCGGGCTTCGGCTTGGTTTGCGGGTCCCCAATTCTATCCAGCGGGGGGTCTTTTCAAAGGGTCCAGCTGTTGACCAAAAGCCCTTACAACATCACAGACCCACATGAGCCTTTATATTTTTGGAGGGTGTATCCTTGATGGATTGAAATGGAAGGGACTCCAAAAGGATCGCTGGTGTTGGGAAACATTTCCCATTTTTGCTCACTGTGGTTTATTGGTTTTTCATCCAAATCCACTGAACTGCTATTTTTTCCCGTTTTTTCCCCAAACCCAACAAGTCAACGAAGAAAGGATGGTACCGCCCTTACAACATCACAGACCCACATGAGCCTTTATATTTTTGGAGGGTGTATCCTTGATGGATTGAAATGGAAGGGAAACCAAAAGGATCGTTGGTGTTGGGAGACATTTCCCATTTTTGCTTATTGTGGTTTAGTGGTGTTTCATCCAAATCCACTGAACTGCTATTTGTTCCCCGTTTTTTCCCCAAACCCAACAAGTCAACGAAGAAAGGATGGTACCGCCCTTACAACATCACAGACCCACATGAGCCTTTATATTTTTGGAGGGTGTATCCTTGATGGATTGAAATGGAAGGGAAACCAAAAGGATCGTTGGTGTTGGGAGACATTTCCCATTTTTGCTTATTGTGGTTTAGTGGTGTTTCATCCAAATCCACTGAACTGCTATTTGTTCCCCGTTTTTTCCCCAAACCCAACAAGTCAACGAAGAAAGGATGGTACCGCCCTTACAACATCACAGACCCACATGAGCCTTTATATTTTTGGAGGGTGTATCCTTGATGGTTTGAAATGGAAGGGAAACCAAAAGGATCGTTGGTGTTGGGAGACATTTCCCATTTTTGCTTATTGTGGTTTAGTGGGTTTTTCATCAAAATCCACTGAACTGCTATTTTTTGTTTGTTTTATTGTTTTTCCCCAAACCCAACAAGTCAACCAAGAAAGGATGGTACCGCCCTTAAAACATCACACCACAGCAGCCCTGATATTTTTGGAGGGTGTATCCTTGGATGGTTTGAAATGGAAGGGACACCAAAAGGATCGTTGGTGTTGGGAAACATGTTTCCCATTTTTGCTTATCGTGGTTTAGTGGTTTTTTTCATCCTAATCCACTGAACTGCTATTTCTTGTTTTGTGTTTTTCCCCCAAACCCAACAAGTCAACGAAGAAAGGATGGTACCGCCCTTACAACATCACAGACCCACATGAGCCTTTATAATTTTGGAGGGTGTATCCTTGATGGATTGAAATGGAAGGCAAACCAAAGGGATCGTTGGTGTTGGAAAAAAACATTTCCCATTTTTGCTTATTGTGGTTTAGTGGTTTTTCATCCTAATCCACTGAACTGCTATTTCTTGTTTTGTTGGTTTCCCCAAACCCAACAAGTCAACCAAGAAAGGATGGTACCGCCCTTAAAACATCACAGACCCACAGCAGCCCTGATATTTTTGGAGAGTGTATCCTTGGATGGTTTGAAATGGAAGGGACACCAAAAGGATCGTTGGTGTTGGGAAACATGTTTCCCATTTTTGCTTATTGTGGTTTAGTGGTTTTTTCATCCTAATCCACTGAACTGCTATTTCTTGTTTTGTGTTTTTCCCCCAAACCCAACAAGTCAACCAAGAAAGGATGGTACCGCCCTTAAAACATCACAGACCCACAGCAGCCCTGATATTTTTGGAGGGTGTATCCTTGGATGGTTTGAAATGGAAGGGACACCAAAAGGATCGTTGGTGTTGGGAAACATTTCCCATTTTTGCTTATTGTGGTTTAGTGTTTTTTTCATCCTAATCCACTGAACTGCTATTTCTTGTTTTGTTGTTTTTCCCCCAAACCCAACAAGTCAACGAAGAAAGGATGGTACCGCCCTTAAAACATCACAGACCCACAGCAGCCCTGATATTTTTGGAGGGTGTATCCTTGGATGGTTTGAAATGGAAGGGACACCAAAAGGATCGTTGGTGTTGGGAAACATTTCCCATTTTTGCTTATTGTGGTTTAGTGTTTTTTTCATCCTAATCCACTGAACTGCTATTTCTTGTTTTGTTGTTTTTCCCCCAAACCCAACAAGTCAACGAAGAAAGGATGGTACCGCCCTTAAAACATCACAGACCCACAGCAGCCCTGATATTTTTGGAGGGTGTATCCTTGGATGGATTGAAATGGAAGGGACACCAAAAGGATCGTTGGTGTTGGGAAACATTTCCCATTTTTGCTTATTGTGGTTTAGTGGTTTTTCCATCCTAATCCACTGAACTGCTATTTCTTGTTTTGTTGTTTTTCCCCCAAACCCAACAAGTCAACGAAGAAAGGATGGTACCGCCCTTAAAACATCACAGACCCACAGCAGCCCTGATATTTTTGGAGGGTGTATCCTTGGATGGATTGAAATGGAAGGGAAACCAAAAGGATCGTTGGTGTTGGGAAACATTTCCCATTTTTGCTTATTGTGGTTTAGTGGTTTTTCCATCCAAATCCACTGAACTGCTATTTCTTGTTTTGTTGTTTTTCCCCCAAACCCAACAAGTCAACGAAGAAAGGATGGTACCGCCCTTAAAACATCACAGACCCACAGCAGCCCTTGGATGGATTTCGTTGGAAACATTTCCCATTTTTGCTTATTGTGGTTTAGTGGTTTTTCCATCCTAATCCACTGAACTGCTATTTCTTGTTTTGTTGTTTTTCCCCCAAACCCAACAAGTTGAAAAACATCACAGACCCACAGCAGCCCTGATATTTTTGGAGGGTGTATCCTTGGATGGATTGAAATGGAAGGGAAACCAAAAGGATCGTTGGTGTTGGGAAACATTTCCCATTTTTGCTTATTGTGGTTTAGTGGTTTTTCCATCCAAATCCACTGAACTGCTATTTCTTGTTTTGTTGTTTTTCCCCCAAACCCAACAAGTCAACGAAGAAAGGATGGTACCGCCCTTAAAACATCACAGACCCACAGCAGCCCTGATATTTTTGGAGGGTGTATCCTTGGATGGATTGAAATGGAAGGGAAACCAAAAGGATCGTTGGTGTTGGGAAACATTTCCCATTTTTGCTTATTGTGGTTTAGTGGTTTTTCCATCCAAATCCACTGAACTGCTATTTTTTTTTATTTTTATTTTTTGCTCCCCAAGCTTCCAACGAGTCCACGTCCAGAAAGGATCCCATTTCCCAGGGCTCGCCACTCTTGCGACGTGCCACTCGCCTTGGAGGAACTTCGAGGAGGGCAAGGCCATGTGCAAGCGGGACATGCAGCGCTCGCTTGGTCTACACGAGGACCTCGGCGCCGCACTGCTGGGCTTCTGCGGCAGGCGGGAGATGTGTTTTGATTTGGGGGGAGAAGGGGGGGGGAGAAGGAGAGGGGTTGTGGTAATGTTGATTTTATATCAACCTATAAACCCCTTAGGCCTTCTTTTTTTTGCCAGTCGGGAAGTGAGTCCAAGAACTGGAGAGCAAGTCCTGTCAGCTCTTTCAACGAAATTGGGCAGCCTGAGCAGCTGCCAAACTGATTGGCCCTATTCTTAGTTAGTGTCCTAAGTCTTGAGCCATACCCAAGAAAGTTCCTTGAAAGAGAGAGTGAAAAGGTAAGCACGTGGCGTGCGATGCTTGTAGTGGGGAGATCATGGGACACCAACGCCACATCCGCCGGCCCAATCTTCCCATGTCGTAGAGAAACTTTCGGCATGTTGTTCGCTCCAAATTGTTGCGGCGGTTTTTGTTGGCTGCAAGCTAATTTTGTAGAGGACATTATTGTTGAACATGTGCACCTCGCCACATGCGCGGTAGCATGCGGAAGGCTTCGCGGAACACATTTCTTTCGCGCAAGGTTCGTGGAAGCTTTGTGGCTGAGATGAAATTGATTGCTTCACTTTGCGTGCGTGGAAAAGCACGGAGAAAGGATTACAATAGAAGCAGAAAGGTGTTGCTGCGTACAAGACACGCAACGCTTACTAGAAGTGCAGTTGCCAACAGCAAGCCAAGATGACCAAACAGCCGGCAGATTTTGCGGAAGGTTCGCGGAAGCTCCGCGGAAGGGTTGCCGCGTAATTGCAGCCCAAGCCTACATAGGCGCCAACAATGGCGGAAGCAAATCTTGCAAAACATGCGCCGCGGAAGGTTTGCCGAAGCAACCAATGAAACACAAGTGCAGCGGAAGTTCGCGGAAGGGACCTCTTGGCCCGCGGCAGGGATGCGGAAGAGACCGCGGAAGCTTGAATAATGTCCAATCAAGTTTGTAGGGAATAAGCACCAACGCTCAAATGTGCAAAAGTCTTGCAATAGGGGTACCTACAAAAAAAAGTATGGTTTTCCTTTTGGCTTCCTTTTGACCAACCCAAACAGGGCACCCTCAAGAAACACAACAAATGACGCTGGTGCACAGCCCTCCAGATCAGGGCTGTGGGAAATGACCACTTCTGTGATACCACAGAAGGGGCCTCCCAAAGACTAGCCCCCCATACAAAGGCGGAGATTCCCAAAAGTATCACAGAAGAGGTTGGATAAACCCCTTGGTCCCACAACCCTGCTCCAGAGCCTCGCTTCCTTTTCATTGTCCAGGCTTTGCTACCAGAAGGGCGTTCAGCTGATCACTGAGGCCGGGCTGCGATAGGAAGGGCATGTGAGAAATGGTTTCTGACCCCAAAATAAACCATCCAACGGGTTTCCTTTCAGGCTGTAAGGGAATCCCTGGGCGAATTCAACCACATTCCCTATCGCAAGCTGTTTTTTATTCGGGAATCCCTGGGTTCATTCAACCACATCCAACTGGTTTCCTTTATTCGGGAATCCCAAAACGGTTCATCTCAATTCTCATTCCCTATCGCAGCAAGTTTCGCATGGAGCCTTCCGCTTAGGTAAGTTTTTGCATCTTCAAGTTACCCCTTTTCTGGTGGGTTTTTCAGGGACACCACAATAAACCTGTAAAACCGCCATTTTTTGGGGGCCACCACCCGAAAAAGCAAAGAAAGCAGTAGGCAAATGACCCGATGGTAGGTGATCCCCTGGCTGCTGGAATATGAGAGCAGCGGCGTGCTGGGCCGCGTGCAGATCATTCTCATGGGCAAGGGCGAGGACAACTATGCAACACAGTTGCGGGAGGCGGAGAACCAGAACAAAGGCGCCTCACCGTTGAATCCTGCTTTTTTTCTTCTTCAGTGCATTTCAGGCAATATAAATAAACCCGCAACTGTTTTTTTGTTTAATCGATTTGGTTTTGAAACGGTGGTTGTCTTGTACCTTCCCCGTGGATGCCTACTATTTGTATATACTATATAGTCATATAGTAGGTAACCCTTCGCTATCTTCCTTCGGGTTTTTAAAGCTGTTGCACGTGTTTTTGCAGCGGATACCAGTTAGAATATGTGTATATATATACGTATAATCTATACACTCATATAACGGGTAACCCTTTGCTCTGTTCCTGTTGGTTTTGAAAGGGTGGTTGTCTTGGGCACCTATACAGGTAAATGGATCTGGGGTTAATTTGACGGCGTGTGTTCTGTGTGGAGCTGGCACCCTTGGGAAGGTTTTGAAGGGAACCGAAAGGACACCACCTGTTGTCTCCCACTTTGGCAAATTGGATTGGGGGAACCCGCAAACCTTTTGGTGGGCTTCCATGGGAAACCAAAAGGTAAACCTGCAATCCCTGCCCTAAATCTTGGATAAATATATATATATATATATGAGCTGAACACGTCCCTTTTTTTTTGCACGGCTCCCGTGTTCTTTGTTTTTGCCCTTTTTTTTCTGCTGAGGAAGAGTCTGTGGGTACGTAGGCTTCGACCCCAAAGTGGAGCACCGGATGATGGCGAGCTGCGATTTTCTCCTGATGCCTTCCCAGTACGAGCCCTGCGGACTTCCGCAGATGTATGCGCAAGCATACGGCACCTTGCCGGTAGTACACGAGACCGGCGGCCTTAAGGAACCCGCGGTTTCGGTTTCGGTTGATGTGACCCACGTCTTCAAGACCGATTCGGGTAGATGATCCGGTCAAGGGACGATCCCCTGGCCATAAATAGCGGAGATCCGCCTTCTTAGTTCTTGAAGCATGGTTCTGCACCATGTTTGTACCAGGTTTTGATTGTGACTCATGTGGCGTTGAGGTGCGATGGATGTTTGAGAGGACACATTTTGTTGGTTGAGACGTGAGGTGGGGGTGGTTCTCAAAGGCATGCCCTAAAATTATTGAATCTAGGGGTACCTCCCCCATTCTTTCCAGGGATCCTTCTTTCTAGAAAACCTCCAGAAACCCGGCAAAAACGGCTGGTTTTCGAAAAGAACGGTGGTTGAAAAGAATGGGGAACCAACCCCTAGAGAATGGATTGGTTGGTGTCCCACCAAAAGGGCGTCCACCATTTTGAGAGACTCTCAGATCGAAATTGAAATGTCCCAGCTGATTTGCGGTTGTTTGCGGACGTGAAACTCTCGAAGGTCCAGGAAAACCAGGGGACTCATGAATGTTCCCATATGGGTCTGTCTTTCTTGAGTTGGTATCCGTTTTTATGGTTGGATTGAAAGGGAAACCAAGAGGAAAACCACCTATTTGGGGGAACCCCTATTTTAATACACACCCATGCCATCTCGGGCAAAAAAAAACATGTTGCCGCTCATTGGGGTAGACGTTGCAACCAGAGATCCCCAAATCCGCGGGTGTCCTGGAGCCTTGGGGACTGAAAGGTTTGGTGATTTTAGGCGAGTGTTTTCAGCCGAAGGGAAGGATCCTTTCTGGTCGTTGCCTTGGATTTTGTGGCGGAGGTACCGGCGAAAATCGCTGGGTCTGGGTTGAGCATCTGGAGCTCAGCGTTCTGTTTAAGCTGAAGCTATTTTCCCCCCAGCCGCCTTTCATGGGCGGTTTCGCGCGTTCGCCAGGACTCTGTCGCCGGTCTTTGGGATGAGCATCGTGACCGAGACACTGCCACGGGGCGTCGGCCTCGGAGAGGCAAACATCAGCCAGAGTCGGTCCCAAAAACCGGCACCGAGCTGCCCCCGGCCACGGCTTTTTGAATAAACCCCCGGTCGACTTTGATCGGGGGTGTCCCCTTGTAGGGATTCAGACCACTTTTGGAGGGAAGGCCCCCCTATGGGATGGGTTTAGTAATCCTGGGTCAACATGACTTGGAACCTTGAAAAAGGAGTTGTTGGGACCCGGGTGCTGGGGGTTCAATGTTTGAACTGGCTTGAAATGGATTCATTGGGGGCCCCCTGGGTTTTGCTTCCTGCGCCGGTCCAAAGATTGAGCTGTCAACAAATGTTTGGGAGTCATGAGTCTTGTGTCTTTGGACCTCCGGTGGGAGGGGATTCAAGCAAGGGTGATGCAATGTTTGCTTGAACAGTGCGATAAGCCCTGGCTATTGCTGAACCTTTCCCCCTTTGGGTCACGCAGTGTCACATGCGAAGCCACAATCAAAACCCGGGTAGATGATTTGTTGTTCAAAGAAAATCCCAACCATGAATAGCTGCGGCCGCCTTCTTCATTCTTTACATGGTTCGTGGTCGACCATTTTAGTACCGGGTTTTGATTATGACTCACATGGACAAAGCATTCAGCACTAAAGGGCTCGGACATGGATCGTGGAAATCATTTCTTCGGACGATGATTGGATTGTTGCGGAAATGCATCACCAGGGGCCTGGCAATTTCTGGGCGCCTCTTTGTCTTTTGTTGTTTGCTTGTTTGCTTGCTTGCTTGCTTGCTTGTTTGAATGTTTGAAATTGTTTGTTGATTGTTTGTTTGTTTGTCTGTCAAATGGCGTCATCAGTGGCACCTATGTACTGTTCTCTAAGAGTGGAGCAGTGCTGGTCCATTTCATGTGGTCTTTTTTTACGAGCAGCTAGATGTGGCCCTTTAAATCAAAGTAGAACCCCCCAAAAAAAACCAACGAGGTTTCTCTACGAACGAGGGCGCCAAAAGACCAGCATCCAATTGGGGTCGTCATGTTTTGATCCAGAAGCCATACCCAGGTTCCTCTTTACTGGTTTTGACGAGAACCATTTGAAGGAACGGCTCTACCAGGCCGGAACCGCACGGAAAAATGGGACGCGGAAAAGCTGAAACAGGTGCTGGAGTTCCTCTCATGGAAGTTTGGTGTCTTGGTTTCCTGAGGCTTTGTGGTTTGGCCATTTCGCAGCTCAGCTTCCATGGAATTCCTGAAGGGCCGCGACTTTACTGCGCGCGCCGGGAGAAAACCAAATCCGCGAGGTGTCCTGCTTTGAGGCCGTGCTGGGAAGTTCTTGCGACCTGAAGCCGTGTCCAGTCTATGATTTCGGTCCAAATCATCACAATAAAAAGCGAAATAAGATGCCACGACGTTCCCGAAAAAAAATGACCGTTGATTTGTGGGCAGGCTCTTTGGGCATGCAACTTATATATATATATATATTTCGTGGCGGCCGTTCAACGAGGCGGGAGCCAGCCTTTCAAACACAAGGCACAGGGGTCTGTCGTTTTTAGGGTTGGACGCCCCCAAACACAAATATTCTTTGGTGCTTGGATGTTAGGACTTTAACTTTTTGCCAACCAATGGGCTTTCCATCAAACCGCTAAAGGTTAAACTTTAGCAGGGGAGCAGAAAGCAACCGATATTGGTTTTCCGTTTGGTTCCCCTTTAAACCCACTCAAAAAAGGGGAAAAAGAGACACACCTACCTGGCGGGATTGCTGATGGATGGGGGGTCAGTGCCACGCAGAGGGCACCAAAAATTGGCAGGGATGCAGAAATGTCAGTGAACAAGTTCCTGGAAAGCATTTAAGCCACAATCAAAACCTGGGTAAATGAAGGTTAGTAAGGGGCAGTCCCAGCCAGAAATAGTTGCGGCCGCCGTTTGATTTCCTTGTATATTTTTGTACCATGTTTTGATTGTGACTCATTTGCACATAGGTGGCTCGTCTCTTGAGTTGGCACCAACAGCAACACTGCCATATTGGCGGGGACACGAGTGGCCTGGATGGTCCAACCGATTAAACAAGAATGCGGTCCTCTATCTGAGGGGTCCCTATATTTCCCTTTTTTGTGGTTTTAATCACTTTTTTTGCCCATGAAAGGTGAGTTTCCCTTGGGGTGATGTTCTAATGGGGGGAAATATAGGGAGACCCCTGTATCTCGCCATTTCGTAGAAAGGTGGTATTTTTGTCGAAAAACCCAGTCATCGGGTGCGGGGGGGGCACGTGTCAGACGCAACCGAGTGCATCCCTGCCAACTTGAGGAGAGGAAGAGGCCAAAGTCTGGACTTGCTGATGTCAGGATACCCTTTTTGGGCTTGTTTTCAAAGGGCAGCATGTTTTTTTTTGGGGGGGGGGCTGGTGGTTGCCTTAGAAGACTCGGGGTCAGGCGCTTGAAGTCTTCCACAAGAAGCAGGACCTATTTAAGCAGATGCAAATTAACGGCCCGGGCCCTCAGCTGAAAGAGCGCCATGGCCCAAGTTTTCCTTGTGGGCTTCTCAGTCGACGGCTTTTCGCCGCTGGGTTGGAATTTTCAAAAGACCAACATGGGTGCCATCGACTTTCGCCCTGGACGTGTTTTTTTGGTCAAGGCAGGGAGCCCCATGTCGAGATGTGTGAGTTTGCTTTGACGTGAAATCCGCCGCGCCGATTTTTGGCCCACACTGACCCATTTGTGGAGTTTTTGTTTCGCTGAAGCAAACACGGGGCACTGCAGATCACCAACATGAATGGGGCCCAAAGAATCCAATGTCAGCAGCAACATCAGTAGGAACCTGACTTGAGCCATGAACCTGGAGTATCAGGTGCTGTCGATTTGTATTACCACGCTGGAGGTGCTCACTGTGCTGCGGATGAGCTATGTGGTCTTCATGATGTTCATGATGCAGAACCATCGTTGGTGTTGGGAAACATTTTACAGTTTCGCTTATGGTGGTTTAGTGGTTTTTCATGCAAATCCACTCAACCGCTGAAATATCTGGAAAATATTTGCTCCAAATCCACTCTGCCCAACAGTTTCTCAATTTCTCGCTCCCCACACCCAACGTCAACCAAGGAACTGGCCCAGTCTCCCCTGGCGGCGCTGGTTGCAGCACTGCGGCCAGAAGCTCCGTGGCCAGCCACGGGACCCCTGCCTGGAGGCCCGCGTCGCGGCGACCTTCCATGCGGCGCTGTGTGGCTTGCTGGTGGTGGGCGCCAAGATGCGCCATTGCCAGACTTTACCTTCACAACTCTTCGCCCTTTTTCTTTTCTTCTCCATTTCACCTTACCAAGAAGTTTCGGTTGCAGAAAGTTTAAGTCTCTGAGTTTTTAAGTCTGGTCAAGGTTCCTGCTGGTTTTACTCTTCCGCCTCATCATCTTCCAGCTGTACTTGGAGTCGAATCTCCAGCACCTGCTGTCGCCTTCCCTTGATGTGTCCAGCGTGGTGGCCTATGCTACGAATTTGTTCATCTGCAGTTTCTTGGTGGTTCTCAGCTATTTGGCTCCTTAGGTGTTTCTTTTGTTTTTCTCGGTTTTTACTTCGGCAACGGCTCAGCGGTAGCTTCCACACTTAAAAGTCCGACTTTTAGCAGGGGATCGCGAAACAGCCCAGGTTTCAGACGCGCTGTTACGCCGAATACCCTTGATGCCTGGTACGTGGTGAATCAGGCCGTGTGCATCCTGCCGGTGATTTTGTGCCCTAGCAGCGCAGACCTGGCCAGCGTCTCCTTGATCACCCTCTTGCCGCGCTTCTTGGTCGGCCTGTGCCCCAAACATGCCGGCTTGGTGGTGCTGGGCAACCTGGTTTACTACTTCTTGGCCCTCAGCCACACTGGATTTCGCATCGACAGCAACTTCGCCTCCCAGAGTGCCGAGCTTGGTATTATCCTCGCAGGGGCTCTGGCAGTTCGTTTTCAGATCTTCGCGAACGTGCGGGTGGGCTTGGATCTGAAGCTCTGTTCCAAACCGACCTTTTTGACCTTTGAGTTTGCCCTTTTTGGCCCACTATGCCCACTTTTAGCAGTCCCGAAAGGTTCACCTTTTATTTCTAGATCCTTTGGGCAAGGAAGACCCGCAAAATCGAGCTGGAAGCTGTCTCCGCGCTGCTCCTCGGCTTCTGCGACGCGGTGGTTGAGGTAGATGTCAAGACCATGCAGCTCACTGAAGACTCCCATCAGCTGTCAACCATGCTTCTACACGGGCATGGCATGACTGCGGGGGGCCTGGCCGGCCGAGATTTCTTGCACTTCTTCGTGGAAGAGGACCGGTCTCGCATCGTGGACTCGTTGAGCATGGGGAGTGCCAACACCCTGGCGCTGAATGCGCGGCTGCTGGACTGCTTGGGCAACACCGTGCGAGTGGAGCTTCTCCATGTTCAGTTCAGCAACCTGGACGGTCAAGCCTGCAGATTGGTGGGCATGCGCGAGTTTCAAGATACTGGTGCCACCTTCACAGCTCCAATGGGTCCGACGACGGGTGAGACATCCAACTGCACGGTGCTGTTCAGCGCCAACAGCTTCGACATCTTCAGCGTCAGCGAGGGCTTTCAGCAGCTCTGCTCGCGAATGGGCCAGAGTTTGAACCTGGACGGCATGAGCGTCTTCGACTTGTCAAAGACCACTGGTCCCGACTCCTTTAGCCGGCAGCTACAGGACGTCATCAACTCGGATGAACACCAGGGCAATCTGGCGAAGGTGGACTTGATGGGTGTTTTGTCCGTGGACGCCATCGTGACCTTGCAGAAGGACGTGGTCTTGCAGGACTTGGTGGGCACTTTGCTTGTGACCCACGTGCACGGCAACCTCACTGAGAGCAACGTGGCGCGGCTGGGCGGTCTCCCAAAGACAAGCAGAGGCCGAAGCAAAAGTAGCCGGAGCTCCCGCAGCTCCCGAAGTGGCCAGCAGCAGCGTCAAGGCTCGATCCTGAAGCTGCGGGGCGTATCCCTTTGAGAGGAACTGCCTGCCTTGCTCGGGTGGATGGTCAGGCCCTGGATTGCAAAAAGGGAGGGACTGAATGACGGAAGCACATCGGAGATCTTCAAGCAAGCCTTTTCATGGTGAATGTTCTCTCGCGGGAAGTTTGCCGTCCCTGAGATAGCAACTTGTCGTTTTGAGTACTACGCGAAGCTGCAAGTGGCATCTCTGCCATAGCTCGCAGTGCTTTGTCTTGATCGAGTCTCACCTTCAATTCGTCTCGCGAGTGCGGCAAGCCGCCAAACAACAAGCTGCGGCGAGTCGCCATCTCATAGACAGCCTCGTTTCCGTCACCTACGCACAGAAGTGCAAAAAATCATATGTGTCCAGCTGGATGCTTTCAAAATGCAATCTTTTGCATGTGGTTGTTTTCTACTCGCACATAACGTACGGTTCACTTTCAGGCAGTCTGGAACTCGACTTTTCCGTCGTTCATGTTCTAGGCTCACGCGAAGCATGACCTCGGTTCCAAGTTTTCAGGCGAAGTGGTTAGCAGGAGCCGACCTCCCCCGTTAAGCAGAAAACGTCGCTTGGGGAAGTCTCTGGTGGATTGTCTTTGGAGGCCGTCGTTGCGTTGTGTCTTCAAGGGTGGCTCTGGGGGATGTCTTTGGAGATGTGTTTTCGGAACTGTCTTGAACTATCCTCTCCAAAATGTCTTTCGCAGTTTTTGGGAACGTTTTGGGGATGTCTTGCTTTTGGACATGTGTTTCAGAATGCTTTGTTCGTGAGGGTCGCATGTCTGCATTCGGTTTCATGGCCTCTATCATTTCTTTGGGGGGGGGTCCCCCAAAACAAATCACGCCCATTTGCTTGCATGCATGTGTTGTTCTTTGTAAAAATGGGGCGGATGCACAGTAAATCTCTCAGACGGAGGCATCTATGACAGCCAAGCAATGCTCAGAAACAAGACCGCTTGTGCCTGGCCCTGCTTATGAATGCTTGCTTTGTCAGCTGATTTGGAGCTGTTTTTTCATCTGGAATTCTCGCCGAGACATGCCAAGGCATGCGCAGCAACTACTACTGGCCGCAGGCAGGGATTTAGGGCGATAGGGCGCTTGCGACGGATGGCGGTCCGGAACTCCGGAACTGGGCGCATGGGATTTGCTTCATTGCAAGTTTGAAAAATTTGGTGGCGCCGTTAACCATTGAAGATCCTTTGTCATGATCCAAGATTCTTGGAGAGGAATTCGTTATACACACTCACGCACACGCACACGCACACGCACACGCGCGCCCACAGGGGTTCATCCGAGTCCCTTCTGTGCTCGGGCATTGCACGAGCTTTGCTACCGCTAGTCACTGTGCAGCTGCTACAGTTTTGTCTGGCAGATGAGGACACAGGCTTGGTGCACTCGACTAGGGGACAGGTCCCAAAATGATGAGTCCACATAAATCGCCATGCAAATGTCCAGCAACGGGTCCCCGGAATTTTGAAATTTTCCCAAATCGCGATGGTGGAGTCATAAGCATAGGCGCGCATAGGTTAGTTTGGATAGAAATAGACGGCGCTGGTTTTCCTTTGGATTTAACCATTTACCACGCCGCCATGTATATTGCCAAAAGGACACCCATGGTTGGAATGGTACGAGCGATCCTTTGAGCACCTGAGGCCATTGACGAGTATGAGCGCCACATTGACTGGACATTGAACAGTTCTGCGGCGGTTGGCTAGGCCACTGCTGAACTTCTCGATTAGAGAACGTTTCGGGTCCTCTGTGGCTCGCGATTTGGTCCGTGTGGAGGGCTTGAAGCACCGGTGACTGGCTGGCTTTGGAGGTTGTTTTAGAGCGGACAGGCCATGTTCAGCCGAATATGTCAGAACCCCCCCCGGTGCTCGGAGCAATCCAGCTTGCATAGCAATTCAACCATACGCTTGGCTAGGCAGTTCAACGCAACTGCTGTCTCCGCCGGCATGGTCATAGGTAAGCTGGCAAATCGCTTATTCAACTGGGAGAGCATTTGGAGCTGCATGGCGGAATGGACAGGAGCACTTCACAACGCAAATTGAGACTGATTCGTAGCCGCTATTTGAGCTCCTGAAGACAAATGCGAGGACTCCCACCGAGTTATTCACTTTGAGGTCGCATCCACAGACTGCGTTTTTCCATTTGAATGCTGTCAGATCTTCAGATCCGGCAGCGACACTTTTCCTTCATGTGCCTTACTTGTACCGATCCGGGTGTCCCGTGAGGACTTCCGTCGGTGTTTGAGGCTTGAAAGCATGCTTGCAGTTGTAGGCGGCCAGAGCAAATCCCTGGCGGGCGCACTGCGATGCGAGTGCTCGCACAGTTCGCTTCCAAGTTTCCTGAAAAGTCTACATTTCAGTAGGTACTTTTTGACAGCTCCACCAAGCAGCCAGGCCATCCGTTTGAAAGGCCCAACTTTAAAAAAAAGATGCGCCGGGCGCGAATCAACAACAAGTCTTGCCGGCATCTAATTCTATCTTGGTGGCACATCGTGGCCGCCGATGCCGTTGGTTTCGCAAGTTTTTCCCATGGAAGATTGAGGCTAGGGCCGGGATGGCCGATCGAGTTACCTGGGGAGTCCGAGATTTTTGTTTCATGGCTGGGCCCCGAAGTGGAATGCCCGCACCAAACCCGTAACGGATTTACTGCGCGCGACAAAAGAAGAAGGTCCAATGAGGCGAGCGCTCGGCAGGGAGAATGGCATCATGCGCGTGATGGATTCTCAGGAGAGTCCGGTTTGCAACCTCAGAACGGGATGTACGAGAGTACAAAGGCGCAAGCAAAATGGGTGTGTGCCTTTGTTGAGGCTACCATGATTTGGGTTGGTTAAGACCAAAGGTACAGCAGCCATTTTGGGGGTTGATTTTCAAGACACACCCATTGAATGCACTAGGGAAGTCAGGCAACCCTTAGTTGCTGGTTTGGATGGGTGGTTTTGGATTTGGATTTGAGCCCCTCCTCATGGATGGGGTTGAGGGCACACCATCCCTTGACCACCAAACGACCAATCCAAACCACCAACCAGGGGAAGCTGAGATACTGCGGATGGACGAAATCCTGCACCATTTTGAAACCATGGGAGACCATTGTTGGTTGGTATTTACAGAGGAATCATCATTCCAGGGTTTCTAAGGTGGTGCAAACTTGGATTTTGTCCATCCACAGTAGGTTGCCAGATGACACCGATTCAGAGTACTGCCCCGGCGCCTTGGCCGCCTTGGCCGACCTGCTCAGTCACGCGCAAAAATGCAAAGACGGTTCCAGAGCGTGCAGAAGACATGACCGGGCAAACAGGCTGCTTTGATCCGTCACAGGTATATATATATACATACATATGTAGACATATATATATATATATACGACAAGATACATATACATATATGAATAAGCATATATATATATATGTTTATGTGTATATATATATATATATTTATTGATATGTATACTATATATATATATATATGTACATATATAGATGCATACATACATCAGCGCCAGTCACTTGCAGTGAGCCAAGTCCTGCCGTGCAGAGCGCAGATGGCGTTGGTTCGCTGAAGCCGGCGGAGTCCTCATGAGCCTGGGCGTCCCAGCGCGGCGGGAGCCACCTCAGGGAAACCAGCTGTCAGGGATACATAGGTGTCCTTGGCATGGGATCCCATGGGGTAGGTGAATTCACCACCCATTTTAGAACCTATTTTAGTGGGGGTACGGGATTTTGACCCATGGCAAAGCGAAGTAGCCATAGGTGTCCTTTTTGGCTGTTTTGGTAGAAAAAATAGATGGCGATTCCTGGTTTTCCTGGTGGTTGAATCATCTACCAGGGAAACCCATCTATTTTCCCTAAAAGGACACCTATGGATACAGGGGGAACCAGGGATACGGGTCCCGGATTCCCCCGATTGATGCACCTTGAATAAGTTTGAGATGGGAAATGGCGCCAAGGGAATCCCCCCATATCCCCGCTCCCTCCGTATCCCCGCTAGTTCGTTTGTCCAATGTCTCTGGTCGTGGTTCGCTGGCGGACAAGCCATGCCTTTTGGGCTATCCCCTGCAAACAAAAGGAAAGGACGGCTCTTCCCGAGTGTTCATGGACTTGACACTTTTTGGGTTTTGAAGCGAATCTATCGCTGGACATAGTTTGGGCTTAAGCAAATGGAGAAGCACCATGACGGTCTTTCCGAAGCAAGTAGCGCCCACGCCGTCAATTCGTGCGGGTGCTTTTCTACGGGTTTCGTGGGGTTTCCAGCCAGCACCCTTCGGCAGAAGCAGGTGGATAGCTTGGCGAACTGGAAATCTTCCTTCGCTCCGAAGGAAGATGTCCTGCCGCGCGATTTCGGCGGGTAGTGGGTTCCTCTTGGAACCCAAAACGACCAGTTACAGTTTGGTGGTTTCCCAGCTCGGGCCTTTTCCATCAAGAGGCTCGGTCTATTCATAGGAACTGAATATTTGTTATTTTCCCCGGTTGGTGTTAAAGGGAATCTATCACTACTGGAAATATGTATATTTTTTCCAGTGACTACTAAAGCTTTAATCAAGTGGAAGATAGGAGCCGGTTGTTTGGGAAGCCACTATGTGTAACTGGTTTCGGGTTCCATCAGCCTGAGGCGACAATGGAGGACAACACCACCACCACCAGCTCTGTGGGCGCCTGAGTGAAGCGGGCCCCCAGGAGAAAAGCCCAAAACGAATCTGGACGCGGATCCATGGATTTGGCCGTGGGTCAAAACCAATGGTACCATTTTGCACCACCCATTTGAGTCTATTTTAGTGGGGATTGGGATGTTCACTGGGGTACGGGATTTTGACCCATGGCCATTTTTTTTTGCTGTTCAAGGGGAGATATTTCCCCCCCGAACTATACCAGTGCACGGGGCAATTCAGTGCCGCGAGCCCTGCAATGTTCCTTTGTTGGGTTGACAGCTGTGCGTGTACGGAACAGGACGCACAAGCAACGACACATGACTGCCCATCGGACCGCACACTCGTGGCAGGTGGACACTCGCGCCAAAGACCTCTTCACGACCATCACGAGAAGAAATGCAGCGGGCATAGTCGTAAATTTGCCAGGGTTTTTCCAGCAACAGTCAGATGGCCCGACGTGGCAAAGGCAAGGCTCCAAAATGGAAACGGGCCACACATATCCAGTGTACAGGCCACGTTTCGGTCACAAATGATCTTTCCTGTGGCATGGTTGTTGCTTGGACCCAAAAAAGCCAAAAGGTGGAGGTCAAATGACAGGCCTGTGCTGAAAAAAACCGGGGCCCACCATCAAGTTTGATTTTCTGCCGAGGACTTTGTTGAGGCCTCATGGGAAGAAGCGCAGCAACAGCTTGCCCGGGCCTAAGGATTCGAAAGGCTAAGCTACAGCATGCATGTCAATGAGTGCATAGATGTAACGACGTGTCATCGACCCATTGCGAAATCCACACAACCCCACTTGCAAGGACGCACACGCACCCACACACGCACCCACCCACCCACCCACCCATCCACCCACCCACGCACGCACGCACGCACGCACGCGCACGCACACGCACACGCACACGCCCACCCACACACACACACAGAGTCACACACGCACAGAGACGCACGCACACAGAGACGCGCACGCACGCACAGAGACGCACACACACACACACACACACACACACACACAGAGACGCACACAGAGACACCCGCAGACACACACCACAGACACATATCACAAGCACACCACAGACACACGCCACAGACACACACCACAGACACAGACACAGACACAGACCCAGACCCAGACACAGACGCACACACACACACACAGACACACACACACACACACACACACACACACACACACACACACACACACACACACACACACACACACACACACACACACACACACACACACACACACACACACTCTTAAACTCCAGATGGAGGGTGCTAATCTTTCGAGTACAACTGATGAGTCTCGAGTACAACTGATGAGTCTCGAGTGGGTGTAGGTTCGGCTTGCAGTCACTTGGCTTCCGTCTAGCAGCGAACACGTTACCCGAAAGAACAAGAAGCACAAACAGCGCCGCAACCAAGGGGGCCAAAAGGACTTTGCATCACACGAAATGCACAGGTACGTCGAGGTGATCAGCCTCGATATCACAGGACAAGCGCGGCGTCTTCGTTGGATGCCGACCGCACAGGTCCCCAGCATCCCCCTGCATCCCCTGTGGTAAAAGTGAAAGCTTGATGTTGGTGACAGGGTATTCTGTCACTCCGCACACACACGCCCCTCAGTGAGGGGCGAGAAGTCTCTTTTTCTGCAGGAAGATCACATGCTCAACTTCGTATCTCTATCGTTTGCCAAAATATCCACCGCGGCGAGGGGAACGCGAAACTGCCCTAAGCCGCTCAGAAGACGGGAACGAAAGATCACCACGATGAGCATTACGGGTGTCGCCATAGAAGACTGGATGGAGTTGCAAAGCAGTCGAGCGATCACCGTCAGAAATAGGGGGAGCATAGGTGAACATTTCCTCGACTCGGATTGCGTCCGAATTCTGCACGTCAACAAGTGATTGATCACGGGCATGATGTGTGGAGAAGGACTCCCAGCGAGAAAGAATGCGTTGGTATCCTTGATGCTGCCAGTCGCGAATTGTCCACGCCTGACTGTGTTCACCAGTCTCACCCACGGGATCAGTTACCCGTTTCCACTCCCGAAACGAGTTGTCTGGTAGGGCAGGCACGATTTCTTCGGGTTGCCACAGCTGAGGTTGTCCCGGAGTATAGATCCGCACCCACTCCTGATCCTGCCAGACCGAATATTCGAGCCATGCTGCTTTGCATCCTCGATGTCCATGCCGAAGGGAGAGACAGGGCGTA